CTATCAGTTGTCGCCGAGGGTTTAAATCGTACCGACGTCATCAATAAAACACGACGTGATGCCCAAATATGGGTATAATCGTCTAATTACTGTTATTACCGTCTAATTACTGTCCAATTACCGCTGCTATCAGTCCAAAAGTTCTGCTGACCACCTAATTGGTCGGCTACTTACTGGTCAACATTGCTGATTGTTCGAGCTAAACCGTCATTAAAATAACAATGGGTACTACTGGGCTGATCTGCATTTTCAGTAAATACTCGTCCCCAGCCCCACTGTCACTCATCACTTATCAGATATAGTATTTTGGAGTTATGTTACATACTATTCCTATTCTATTTCTTAGTTCTTGGTTTTGTCTGCGATCGTTAACCGTAACATTAGAGTAGAGCTACTTAACCGATACTCATGACGTGTTCATTATTTCTGGAGATCACTCCATCATCACCTTGACCATCCAAAAATTTTCATCTGATAATATCCAGAGTGGTATGGTTTTGACCATTTGGCCTGTTCAGGTTGCCATATTGATGTCTTTCTGAAGATAACGCTGAGCACATACTTTAACTTTGAGTAATGTATTCCCTGATCCCTCGCATTGTTCTTTAGAAAGTTAATCATCAAACTAATTCATGTACTATTTTATGTGCGGTTTGCATATTTATACTATGTGTATTTTCTCATCCAAATTCAAAATTTGATAATTCAAGAAATTGTTAGTTTATAACACCGCTCGTTTGTGTTCTCTTGGTACCAATTATCAAAACAACTTCGACTCAAGCCACGTGTGTAACTATGGTTACATGCCACGTGTGGGTACTAGATTCCTGCTTAATTCACAGGAATTCCCGCTTTGCAGCGTCAGATAGCCAAATAAGGAGACCAGCCTGAAATATACGCTTCTTACTCGCATAGTGGGTGAAGTAGTCATTGATCTTGCAAAATGTTCTGCTAGGAATAAGGTTAGTACATCACGTCACTTCCTCCGCAAGCATTTACCTCTTCTTTATTCTTTTAATGTCAAAGATATTCTCCGCAGCTAATGACCAGATCATTCTCGAGAATATTCTTCATTTATCTCGCTCCGGAATGAGCGGGTTTTTCAATTCATTTATTATTTTTATATGACTATAAGATCGGATGAATGCACCCATGCGTTTTCATCTCTTAAGTTTGCCGTTACTGATCATTTTATAATTAGACGGGAAGCATCAAAGTAGCTCGTTTCAAAGTAATTGCTTATATTTTTTGATTAATGACCTCGCCTCTAAAAATTTAACTTTGAGTGAGTAAACTTTTAAAACTTAAAGAGTTAGCATCTAAAAGTAGTTGCAGTTGCCGAGAATAAATTTTTGATAATCTTTGTTTCCTAAATGTAGAAGCAGAGAAAACGATTCTTTATATATTCGATATTAATCTATTTTAGTAAATAAAGCAATCGCTAGGGAAGACTAAATACCATCTTGTTAGTCGCTAAATCAGTATATTTATTATACAATCATCTCGCTGAATTTTTATTTGGGTCAACCTTGATGACCTGTTCTGTACATAATTTCCAATTACAGTAATCTAATTTGTCTTAAAATGCGTTGAAGTTGATGCCATAATAATATCATAATCAGGTGCAGTGATGATTTTTGGTGATTCAATTTTGCGGTGCCGTGTCTAGAGATTTGTCTTGATTTGACATGTGGCTGGGTCGTGGATGATATGGGAAATTTTCAGTTTGATAAAAATTAATTAAATATGTTTCCATTTTTAGTTCCGCCCGTGGAGATTGTCAGGTAAAAGTCCCAGCCAGGCCCTCGTATCTATCCACAACCAAATCAAACAATACCGGTCTTATATATAAATGAATGAATAAGAAGCAAATGAAATGTATCAGAATCATGAAATGGATTCAACATCTCCATATTTGGTTCCACGCATTACAGCTTCTTAGATTTTACCGAGAAGTGATCACTGATCAGAGATGGCATCAAACATTAAATTATGTATAGGTGGTTAGATATATGAATAACATTTTAAATCTCAGACTTGGTCGAATTGGCAGTAATTTCTTGTAAATTTACAGTCTAAAATGAGATCATTAGCAGTTATTTCTGACCGGTGAGGAAGTACTGAATATTATTTGCATGTGTCGGAGTGAGTGATTCTAATATTCTATTTTGACATATTTTTATAGTGGTTTGAATCGAAAAACGCTTTATGCTATTCGTTGCGCAAGGTAGGAGTAGCGAACAAGCTCTCATTTCAGCTCGCAAGTATATTATTGCTCTCTTCTTTACTGATTTTATCTGAATACTTGTGCTATAAGAGGAATATCTCGCCTCACGATCTTTGTATTCATTTAAACCAAGTTTAACAGTTTCACTAGAGATATTCTCCGGTTGTATTGTGTTGGAATTACAGCCCCTCCTAGCACAGCCCCTACTTAATTAGGATAACGATGTCACGTGTTAATGATGATGTCACTATATTTAGAACCCACCACCATCACCTTCACAAAGTGAGGTTATGTGCCACATTACCTCACTTTGTACCGGACACCATGTGTAATAATACTGTGTAATCCTCCTCACTTCACAAAGTGAGGTTATGTGCCACATTACCTCACTTTGCACCGGACACCATGTGTAATAATACTGTGTAATCCTCCTCACTTCACAAAGTGAGGTTATGTGCCACATTACCTCACTTTGTACCGGACACCATGTGTAATAATACTGTGTAATCCTCCTCACTTCACAAAGTGAGGTTATGTGCCACATTACCTCACTTTGCACCGGACACTGTGTAATAATACTGTGTAATCCTCCTCACTGATCACATCTCCCACCATTCCTCATCTTATGATCGACTCTTATCAGTACACAGTAAGTGTCAAACTTATCACGTAATGTTATATTGTACCATGTTACGTGTTTTATGTCTTATTATTGTCTTCAGCCATGTGCCAGACTTTCAGGCTGTCCTCTTCTAGGTTTATAGTAGTATTTATAGTAGTATTACTATTGTTATAGAATAATCATAGTATGCCTTTCTTAATTAGGCTCTAATTAGACCTTATCATTTCGATAAATGTATCTGACTTTAATGTGTGTTTTGTTACTGCATTTGTCTAAAACACTAACCGTGCTAACGTTGGTGATTTATACTTGAACTACACTAAATTGAATTTAACGAAATGTTAATCAGATAATAATATCAATGATAATGACATTAATTACACGCAATCCATTAATTCCCCGAATGTATCACCTCTAATAAGGTGTTAACGTTCTATTCCCATTGTACAGTTAAGATAAGATATTTTAATAATGTCTCCTACTTCTCATTATTGTTACTTAGTTTTATCATTATCAGTGCTTTAATCTTCTTAGTTATGTAGGTTGCATAATGCATATTACTACTTATAGTAACATAGTTTGTTCACATTACATCGTTATCTGACAGGCTATACTCAGTTCCAGCTGTTCGGGGAAATGGAGATCATGATCAAGCCACCGTCATTAACTTCAATTGATCCAGCTGAATATAACTACACGTTTAGATTTGCCATACCTACAGTAAGTTACCAGCAGTCACCAGATTAGTATCCAGATTAGTAACCAGTTACCAGATCAGTAACCAGATTAGTAACCAGATTAGTAACCAGATTAGTAACCTACCTGATCAGTAACCAGTTACCAGATCAGTAACCAGATTAGTAACCAGATTAGTAACCAGATTAGTAACCTACCTGATTAAAGATGACAGATAACAGCCGTGATAAAACCCATCTATGGTATAAACCGAGATTCTGATAAAATCTAGAATATATTATAGCTGTGATGAGAACTACTAAGAAAGCAATTCCCCGGTCAATGATTTTAACCTAAAATTGAACCGAAATTGAACCCAATCGGGCAGCCGGCGACGGCTGTCAAAGACTTAACCGTTTACTCATCATTTCCCAAACCACTCCTCCCTTCAAGAGAACAAGCGGTTTGGGAGAGTCTCTTGCTTTTACTCCTCCACAAAATTAATTACAGCCGAATTTATCATCATATTCCAGGATCGTGATTTCAGAATTTGATTTATAATAGGAACAGAGAGTGAGCCCGGTCATCTGGTGAAACACCCCAACAGACCTGGGTCACGTGATGCCCAAATATGGCTGTAATCCCGGGAATAGTCTGTCTTCCTCGGGCAATTACCGCCAGCATATCCGGTCAATTTATGAGCAATTAGCGACCGATTTCTCGTAAATAGAGAAAGAGATCCTGCTATTTTCAACCTATTAATAAGTCTCGGATCAAACCTCGCTAAACAGATTCGAAGCTATTTGTGATACTTCCCCGTTGACCCATTATTATGCCTTTTTAGTTAGCATATTTTGATCTTTATAACACTGATTACTATGATACGTCTTCATTATTTGACGGGCCGATTTCTTAAATGCTAAACGATTAAAAGTATAAAAATGTGTTGCGAATGCCGAATAGAGAGACTTCTGTTTCAAGGCATACACTTCAACAGGAGTGTCAAACTATAGAATTATTTCAGTGTTGAATATTAATAATATCAACCCTGTCCAGTGTGCACTATTCGCCACACAGTGTTTATCAGACATTGTGATTTCAAAGCTCAGTGTTCGTAGTATATGCATCTTTTATTGTGATTTTAACTACCATGTGACCAATCTTAAAACCATTGTATCGCTCACAGTTTTCTTAAAACTGTCCAAAAGTTAAGAAGATCGGTTCTTTCTACAAAATTGTTCAGATCTTTGGGAATCAAATCTTGAACATGTTCGTCACATGATCCGTAAGCACAACAGATGGACATTGCACATTGCACATTTCACAATTCACATTGCACATTGCACATTGCACATTGCACATTGCACATTGCACATTGCACATTGCACATTGCACATTGCACATTGCACATTGCACATTGCACATTGCACATGATGATTGTTAATGAAACTAACTTCACCCTCTTAATCTAGCACATCAAGTGGAAGCTGAACATGTCTGATACACAGGAAACACCCGTACTGGAATCACAGTCTGGTAAGTAGTCTGGTATTCTCAGAGAGATTATTTGAGTTTTAATGTTAGGTGAAAATACCAGTGTTGCAGTCCGCTCTTTTACTCGCACAGCGGCATGTATCTGACTAAAACCACCCGGTCAGATCCTAGTAAAGACACGGTACTTTACCGGAACCATTCGCATGTTATTTATCGCTGCAGCGCATCCGGCAAAATTGATTTAATTTACAGCTTATATTGCAAAATCGCATATTTAAACCTTTTAAAACATATCCTTGCGTTTCACATATTATGCTACAAATACTTATGCTTCATTCAGAGACATATTATGAGCTCTATCTAATTATTTCCTCGTGAATCCGACAGGCCAAAAAAATGTGTACTGATAAAAAACTGCATTGACACAATCCCACGTCAATTTCTTTTAAATAAATCTAACGTAAAACTAAACTTACGCATTAGTCTTATAAAATATATTACAAAGGCCATCTCAGTCAGGAAATCTATACAATAAACTCCGGGTCGAATTGAAACAATAAAATCATTTATCAATCCGTACAAAGCGACTCAACCCGACAGCTATCTACACACTATGTAATATATAATAATAATACAGTAGATATTATGATACAGTACACTTAAAATGAACTACAATTTTCCGAGTAAATAACCGAGCTCTCTTGTCTCAACCGTTTCCACTGCAATTATTGAGTACAAATGAGGACCACAGGATGTTGGCGTTGCGGTGATATTGCTCGGCTGTTTTGCTTTGTTCGTGCTGATAGGAACAAAGGTAAAAATGCTATCTTTCATTTCGATACGTAATACCCAATCACGTGTAACTTTTGGTAACTTTTTGTATTACAAAAAGTCAACTTTGTTACACAATTGTTGTCAGGTTATGATGGGGGGTATCCAATGGTGAAAAATGGCGAATGCTTTTAATGGTGAATCAGGTTTCCAAATTGTAAAATTTCACCATTTTTCACAATTTTTTCGATGAGTATATTTGCCTTTTAGTTTTAGCTTTGACCTGGTGTTATCACTCTAAAACAATATTTGGTTATTAACTCAGATTTTGAGGATATAAAGAAACAATTAAAGATGTGTTTCATTATATTGAAAGTAAGTCTAGGTTTTACATTTACAATTCGGAAACTTGATTCACCCAAACTATCAATCACCATTTTTCATCAAACCTAGTGAACATGGTGAGAAAGGTACATTGAAACTGGTAACTTTAAGTGAAAATGGTGAGAAAGGTACATTGATACCGGTACTTTTTGGTGAACTTGGCGAGTAAGGTACATCAAAAATGGTAACTTTTGGTGAACATGGAGAGTAAGGTACATCAAAAATGGTAACTTTTGGTGAACATGGCGAGTAAGGTACATCAAAAGTATTAACTTTTGGTGATCATGGCGAGTAAGGTATATCGAAACTGAGCTCTCGGTATCGTCGTATACTACCAGAATACACATTTAATATTTCAATTTGATATTTCGAAAGCAAAACATTCAAATGGTGAAAAATGGTGAATGATTTTTATGGTGAATCGACTTTCCAAATTGTAAAATTTCACAATTTTTCACAATTTTTCATCATTTTTCACCATTGGAAACCCCCCGATATGATCATACTCAGACCCCTTAGTTTTATAGGTCCTGATGTGCAAAAAACAACCTAAAATTCATTTGCTTGGTACTTGATTGGTGTTTGTCCAAATGTCAAAGTTAACAAGTCCAGTCTATCAAGTCTGTACTCACAATCGTTGTCGTTTGTATTTGTGGCTGTTGTCGTATTATCATATTGGGAGTTTGTTGATTATACTGGGAGTTTGCTAATCCACATTTTTCTACAATATCGTTTGAAATAATTTTACTCGCTATTTTGATGAGTGGAAAGTTTGATAAGCGAGTCAGCTATACTTTTTGAGTTATAACTGCTGGCTTCATGTGATGATCTGCGCTTCTCAGCTTCCTGCTCGACTCTGGTATTGGCTCTAATCTTCAGCTTAAAAGGCTGATTTGACAGCTCCATACTCCACAGGAATCTTCCCACCACTCAAGGATTCAAAATGGAGTTGGGCTCACGATGGTACAAATATCAATGGTGCTCTAGACTTACTGGGAGATGGAGGTGTTAAATGGTGCGAGGGAGAAAGGCAGGGAGGATGGGAAGTCAGGGAAAATGGAACTGTTCTCGATGTGACGTTCGGGGGAGTATGTCACAAGTTCACCTACAAAGATAATACAGCTGTACTTTTCTGTCCTGATAGGAAGCCTCCAAGTGTCATGGGAGTTATTAATCCCTCTCCAGGTATATTATATGTATATATAATATACAAGTCTGCTTTACCTGAATTTCGTACGCAAAATTGTTCAACTCTTACTTCAAAATACTGATGTTTGTGATAACTTTAGTTCTTTGGAATTTGGAAAGAGTTCGGGTTGAACTTCTTGGGCTTTCTAATTCCTTTTCACGGTGATGTTGTCCGAAGGTGCAATCGTTCTATCATTCAGAATTTTGACTTGTCCCTCTTTTGCAAGAGACACCGAGCATTACTTTTGCTCTTCAATGGTTGAGAAGCAGCCGTGCTAATTTCAAAATATGTTTTGGAAGTAAGCTTTTCAAACTATAGCAAAGAGCCATCAAGTCCGCTGCCCAAAAAATACATTATAATCGAAATGACTGAAAATCAAGGATAAAACTACACCAATTTAAATGTTACGGTTATCAGTGTACAAACCTTACCCTGGTTAAATGATAACATTTGTATTTCTTTGAATTCTTTAGTAATTCTAAATATTTTGCTGCTGTGGTGGGTTCAAAGTATACCCATTATAAATGACATATGTAAAACAAGAGGCGAATTTATCGTATAACTGGAGAGATGTATTTGTTTCTTTGTCCCAAGCTTCATTTTACTAAGTGGTTTCCAACCCAACAATTAATCAGTGTGGTTTAAACAACTAAAATATGGTCGGAAATGGTTGGTTATTTCTCAACTGATTTCTAATTAATAAAGCTATTGATTAATAGTATTTCTAGCTGAAAAGAGCGTCATGATTTGGATCCATATCCTTACCAAGTCCCAAATAAGAAATTTAAACCTAAACCGATTGCAAAGCTACAGAAACTAATATTATTTTAAAAATAAGTAAATTTACTTACAATAAGTTCAGATCAGCCTTCTTTTTCATGCTCCGTTAGTCTTATCTATCATCTTCTAGAGACCCATTATAGCTATGAAGGTGTAGAATAATCAGTATTTTTAAATCGAGCGAATAAAAACTTACTTCAAAGATCTATAATAATTGAATTTGTTATTTTTAACTGATTGTTCTTTTACAGAGAGTAAAATCGAGGAGCCCAAAGCAGTGTTCGACGAGCCTAAAAGTGAGGAAGTAAATGAGGAGGAACCAGTGAAGGAGAACGGTGGGTAGATTTATAATATTGTGTTCATCCTTTAGTTACTCGTTTATGCTTATAAGGTTGCTCAGCAAATCATAGAAGCCCACAAACTCAAATTCAAATTTTATTACAAGCTCATAACCGATTATGATGGAAAACAATAAATTAATGGACAACAGCAAATTGACATTACATACTTCAGGTGAAGCCGCTGCCGAAGAGATCTCAGAAGAGCCAGCCACCGAAGAGGCTTCAGAAAAATCAGCCGCCGAAGAGGCTTCAGAAGCACCAGCCGCCGAAGAGGCTTCAGAAGAACCAGCTGCTGAAGAGGCTTCAGACAAACCAGCTGCTGAAGAGGCTTCAGACAAACCAGCTGCTGAAGAGGCTTCAGACAAACCAGCTGCTGAAGAGGCTTCAGAAGAACCAGCTGCTGAAGAGGCTTCAGACAAACCAGCCGCCGAAGAGGCTTCAGAAGAACCAGCTGCTGAAGAGGCTTCAGACAAACCAGTCGCCGAAGAGGCTTCAGAAGAACCAGCTGCTGAAGAGGCTTCAGACAAACCAGCCGCCGAAGAGGCTTCAGAAGCACCAGCCGCCGAAGAGGCTTCAGGAGAACCAGCTGCTGAAGAGGCTTCAGACAAACCAGCCGCCGAAGAGGCTTCAGAAGAACCAGCTGCTAAAGAGGCTTCAGAAGAACCAGCTGCTGAAGAGGCTTCAGAAGAACCAGCCGCCGAAAAGGCTTCAGAAGAACCAGCCGCCGAAGAGGCTTCAGAAGAACCAGCCGCCGAAGAGGCTTCAGAAGAACCAGCTGCTGAAGAGGCTTCAGAAGCACCAGCTGCTGAAGAGGCTTCAGAAGCACCAGCTGCTGAAGAGGCTTCAGAAGCACCAGCTGCTGAAGAGGCTTCAGAAGAACTAGCTGCTGAAGAGGCTTCAGAAGCACCAGCCGCCGAAGAGGCTTCAGAAGAACCAGCTGCTGAAGAGGCTTCAGAAGAACCAGCTGATGAAGAAGCTTCAGAAGAGCCAGTCGCTGAGGAGGCTTCAGAAGAACCAGCCGCCGAAGAGGCTTCAGAAGAACCAGTCGCCGAAGAGGCTTCAGACGAACCAGTTGCTGAAGAGGCTTCAGAAGAACCAGCTGCCGAAGAGGCTTCAGAAGAGCCAGCTGCAGAAGAGGCTTCAGAAGAACCAGCTGCCGAAGAGGCTGTAGTAGAGGTAAGTTATGTTTCTAAAACTAAAGGCCAATTTTTAAGCGGCTAAATTGTCTTTATTCGGTTGAAATGATAATTTTGAATTCATGAAACCTTAGGTTGAAGATCATTATCCACAGTTACACTGCTTAGTAGCGCTCACAGTTAATAGATAAAGTCGTATCATATTTCTATACTAGAGTATGTATAATAGTGCTGATTAGGAGCCAGGAAGATTACCGATCTAAATAGTTTCGCCTCAGACTAAAGACTGGCGAATAGTAAAGTACACATCATTTGCCATTATTTTAATTGAACATATTAAGTTTTTGTTCTCAGAATGGGTTGACTAAAGTACAGTTTAACAGAACAAAAGCATGCCTGGCGTAAAATTACTGCGACGCGAAACATGTCTTTACTTGGTGATTTCTTTATAGTAAAATGCTGCCTAACTGTGAGTTGCATTGTTTTTGTCACTTTTGTAGTCGGCTCCTAAGTGACTCTGGTCTTTGGTCGATGAGTACCAGAACAGTTTCTCTTTCCTCTGAGGAGGAGGAGGAGAGCGTTATCTGCTGCGAATATTGTGTGGGTTACAATTAACATAATTATAGTTATACCCATTATAATGAACTCACACTGGTCAATTAAGAGTAGAGAAATTTCTAATATTTTTCATGTCACCTGTTTCCATACAGTTATACAATGAAACCCCGATTTACCGTGGAGTTCGGGGGAAAGGAGAAAGCCGCGGTATATTGAAGACCGCAGCAAGTCGGGGTTTTGATTGTTCTCATCAAATTAAACATTATACATGTTAAGCTCCCATTAAAGGGGAGGAAAATAGCCGCGGTATATCGGAGTTTGCAGTAAATCGGGATTTTATCGCAATTTCGCCACATACGAAGCCATGCACTGCATACACAAGCCATCATGTTTACAAAATCACATTTGACAACCAACTAATCTCTCAATATTTCAGGACGAAGCCGCAGCGGAGGAAGCAGCACAAGAAGAGACTGCACCTGAAGAGGGTGAGGTAGTAGCAGAAGAGGAGGCAGCACCTGAAGAGGGTGAGGTAGTAGCAGAAGAGGCGGCACCAGAAGAGGAAGAAGTAGCTGCAGAGGAAGAACCAGCCGCCGAGGAAGAATCACCAGCAGCTGAAGAAGAAGCAGCCGTTGAGGAAGAATCACCAGCAGCTGAAGAGGAAGCAGCCGAAGAGGAAGAAGCAGCTCCACTTGAGAATGGAGATAATCATGCAGCTGAGAATGGGTCATCTGGAGAGAAGTCTGACATAGAGGAGGAGGTTGAGGATATAAAAATGAGGCTGGACCGACTGGAAAGTGATCAAGGAGCGTTGCAGGACAACGTTAACGACCTCAAGACCAAGTTCGAGGACGGCAGAGTGACCTCGCCGACTAAAAAGAGTCCCGGCAGCAGCGATATCGTGGGCCCCTCAATCCCCATGTCAAACCTGAGGGCTATGTTCGGAAACTGAGCGGAACTTCTTAGATCTTGGATTTAACGTTAAATTAACGGCGAAGATATGTTGTTTGTCTATGTTTCGGCTCATTGAGGACTAAAAGGATTGATATAACATGTTATGAACTAGGATATCCCGAATTAAAGTGTTCAATTTGTCGAGGCAGATCTTTCAATAGCCAGATAGGTGAAACAATTTTTTATTTTACTCTGTAAAATTTGTTATTTTACTCTGTAAAATGCAAGAGGAAATTTCTGCACATTTTGGTACGCGTGTGCAGACTTCCTCTATTTTAAGATGGACGATTTTTTGATTTTAAGAACTTTTGAGAGCCGTCTATTGGGGGCCCCCCATCTTTTTAAGCAGTCGAAATTAAATCTTTATTTCCTGCGTGGAATTTGTGACGCTTTTTCTTAAATTCGTCATGAAATTTTGCTAAATTGTGTATTATATTGGAATTGTTTTGTATGTGAAATCCTTTATTCTTTTTATACAAACCAGCAAACATCGTGAAATTCACATTTGGGCGTGGAAAATGAAATAACAGCTGAGCAAGTAAACAATGGTAAATAATTGGCCTATAGTTTTCTTTTAGTTGGATAATGACCTATCAATAGGAGTTACTTAACTTGGCGAAATAAACACATTGAGTAATGAACGCAGTATCGTAGTTATAAATAACAAATTATTACTGGTCTTATATTTATAATCAGAAATTATCCATCGGAAGTTGATAATGCCAAAGTATTTGCAGACGAAAATGATTGAAACTTATTTACATAAAATTGACCCAGAAAATATCCCAAAAATTACAAATATTACAGACACAGAAAAAATAAATGATTTAATATCATCATAATGTCTCATTTTATCGAAAACACACCATCTTTCAAATTTATTTCTTGTATAGTGGCCGTTTCTTCTGCAGATTTTGAGTCCCTCTTGAGTCCCGAGCAATCATTTACAACACCAGAATGTCCTATATCAAATGGGACCAGAAGTTCCGCGATGTTTGAAGATGTAAGGTTGTCAGGGTTACTACTCAGACTGTCAAGGTTACTACTCAGGCTGTCAGGGTTACTACTCAGGCTGTCAAGGTTACAACTAACTGTTGGTGGCTGCTCAGGGTCAGACGAGTTGTAGGCGGTAGAGTTAAGCAGTGATTCAAACTTTCCAGAGAAATCTTTCTGTGGGTTACAGAATATAAAGAGGTTTATCAAACCCCAAATCCTAGGCTACCAGATATCAAAAACTTTCTGGTAATTATATTAACTGGAATGTATGCAGATCAATTAACTAGCACACTAAACCACGCGGATGTCATTTTAAGAATGAAGCGTGATTGTACCTGAGTAGTTCGGAGGAGCTTGTTGATACCCTCCACGTTGGAAGGGAGTATAGGTCCCGTTAAGTGCAGGTAATTAACCACATCCATTGTACCATCGTCTTGTCGGGCATGCGAACTACCGCACTTAACCTGTAATGGAACATGTGAATACATAGAGTAGGGGGGAAATGAATGTGGACAATGGAGCGCTATAATGGCTTATACGGGTCATGGGAATTGTCTTACAACATAAATTCTATTTAAAACCACGATCTTACTTATAAGTTTAAATATGAATTTATCTTCCACTCTGTGGAAATGCCCACTTTCACAGAGATCTCTCACGAGGAAGCTCACAACAGAAAGTTAAACAAAACGAAAAGTCAATCTCTGTCCCATTTTCAAATATGAAAATTTCTGAACACACATTTGACAGATTGGATGGGATTTTTGCCCAAAGACCAATTAGTCAGTTAATTGACGATGTTATGAAACCAAATTGAGGTACTGGAAGTCAAAATCACGAAGAAAATTGAAAAATCATATTGTCCCAAACTCTGTCCCATTTTCAGTTTTTCACGATGAAATTTTCAGGACCGAAATTTTACAGTTTTGACTGAATTAATCACCCCCAACCAATTAGTCAGTCAACTATAGACCCCATACGACACGATTGAGGTGCTGGAAGTTTGATTTCGGTCCAAGGAAGCTCACAGCAGAAAGTTTAACAAAACGAAAAGCCATACTTTTCAATCTCTGTCCCATTTTCAAATATGAAATGAAATGAAAATGAAATGAAATAAAGCATTTTTATCCCGCTTATATCAACAATCCAAATAAAAATAAAGATTGCCGATGTCAAACCGGCTGGCCTATGAATATACCCCAAACTAAGATAATCAGTTAATGAGAATGATATTTTTAAAAAAAATCCAAAACCAAATTACTTATTGACATTAAAAGTTAGTATAGCAACGGTAAAAAAACAACTTAAGGATGTATATCATTAAACATTATTATAAATCGTTCACTCCACTACCTTGTCCATACAACAAATTTTACCACTTCTGATATAATAATGTTTATCTGTGTCTTCTTTGGCAATCTGTTTCATCTCTAAGACCAACTGTTGATGGATAGTTCGTTCCTCAGGTGATCGGTCCGGAGAAATGAAAACAGTTTTATGACGTGGAATCAGTCTCAGTTCTTTGGCTTTCACTAATATCTGATGGACTGTACTTGAATTTTCAAAAGAAACTTTAACCGGTCTAATCTTTATAGCTAACTTCTTCCCAACCCGGACAGCTTCGAAGTGTGGCTTTTCGTCAATCTGCTGAAACATCTCGCCAACTTCATGACTCAGATTCTCTTCACTAATCTCCTCGAAACCAAATATTAACACATTCTTAGTTCGATCCTTCTGTACAACCTTTTTCAAGCTCTCTTCTGTGAGTACAGGTGCGGCTGAGAAAATTTCTAAACACACATTTGACAGATTGGATGGACTTTTTGCCCAAAGACCAATTAGTCAGTTAATTGATGATGTTATGAAACCAAATTGAGGTACTGGAAGTCAAAATAAAGAAGAAAATTGAAAAATCATATTGTCCCAAACTCTGTCCCATTTTCAGTTTTTCAAGATGAAATTTCCAGGACCGAAATTTTACAGTTTTGACTGAATTTCTCACCCGCAACCAATTAGTCATTTGAACTATAGACCCCATAGGGGTGGCCAATGGCATAAAATGGCATAAAATGGCATAAAATGGAGAATATTTCTATGCAGAAAATGGAAAAACCTATGAGTAATTCTCCATTTTCTTCATTTATGCCATTGGCCCCCCCCCACCCCATACGACACGATTGAGGTGCTGGAAGTTTGATTTCGGTCGAAGGAAGCTCACAGCAGAAAGTTTAACAAAACGAAAAGTCATACTTTTCAATCTCTGTCCCATTTTCAAATATGAAAATTTCTGAACACACATTTGACAGATTGGATGGACTTTTTGCCCAAAGACCAATTAGTCAGTTAATTGATGATGTTATGAAACCAAATTGAGGTACTGGAAGTCAAAATCAGGAAGAAAATTGAAAAATCATATTGTCCCAAACTCTGTCCCTTTTTCAGTTTTTCAAGATGAAATTTCCAGGACCGAAATTTTACAGTTTTGACTGAATTTCTCACCCGCAACCAATTAGTCATTCAACTATAGACCCCATACGACACGATTTAGGTGCTGGAAGTTTGATTTCGGTCGAAGGAAGCTCACAGCAGAAAGTTTAACAAAACGAAAAGTCATACTTTTTAATCTCTGTCCCATTTTCAAATATGAAAATTTCTGAACACACATTTGACAGATTGGATGGACTTTTTGCCCAAAGACCAATTAGTCAGTTAATTGATGATGTTATGAAACCAAATTGAGGTACTGGAAGTCAAAATCAGGAAGAAAATTGAAAAATCATATTGTCCCAAACTCTGTCCCATTTTCAGTTTTTCAAGATGAAATTTCCAGGACCGAAATTTTACAGTTTTGACTGAATTTCTCACCCGCAACCAATTAGTCATTCAACTATAGACCCCATACGACAAGATTGAGGTGCTGGAAGTTTGATTTCGGTTGAAGGAAGCCCACAGCAGAAAGTTTAACAAAACGAAAAGTCATACTTTTCAATCTCTGTCCCATTTTCAAATATGAAAATTTCTGAACACACATTTGACAGATTGGATGGACTTTTTGCCCAAAGACCAATTAGTCAGTTAATTGACGATGTTATGAAACCAAATTGAGGTACTGGAAGTCAAAATCAGGAAGAAAATTGAAAAATCATATTGTCCCAAACTCTGTCCCTTTTTCAGTTTTTCAAGATGAAATTTCCAGGACCGAAATTTTACAGTTTTGACTGAATTTCTCACCAGCAACCAATTAGTCAGTCAACTGTAGACCCCATACGACGCGATTGAGGTGCTGGAAGTTTGATTTCGGTCGAAGGAAGCTCACAGCAGAAAGTTTAACAAAACGAAAAGTCATACTTTTCAATCTCTGTCCCATTTTCAAATATGAAAATTTCTGAACACACATTTGACAGATTGGATGGACTTTTTGCCCAAAGACCAATTAGTCAGTTAATTGATGATGTTATGAAACCAAATTGAGGTACTGGAAGTCAAAATCAGGAAGAAAATTGAAAAATCATATTGTCCCAAACTCTGTCCCATTTTCAGTTTTTCAAGATGAAATTTCCAGGACCGAAATTTTACAGTTTTGACTGAATTTCTCACCCGCAACCAATTAGTCATTCAACTATAGACCCCATACGACACGATTGAGGTGCTGGAAGTTTGATTTCGGTCGAAGGAAGCTCACAGCAGAAAGTTTAACAAAACGAAAAGTCATACTTTTCAATTTCTGTCCCATTTTCAAATATGAAAATTTCTGAACATAAATTTGACAGATTGGATGGACTTTTTGCCCAAAGACCAATTAGTCAGTTAATTGATGATGTTATGAAACCAAATTGAGGTACTGGAAGTCAAAATCAGGAAGAAAATTGAAAAATCATATTGTCCCAAACTCTGTCCCATTTTCAGTTTTTCAAGATGAAATTTCCAGGACCGAAATTTTACAGTTTTGACTGAATTTCTCACCCGCAACCAATTAGTCATTTGAACTATAGACCCCATAGGGGTGGCCAATGGCATAAAATGGCATAAAATGGAGAATATTTCTAAGCGCTTATAACTAAGAAGTTTTGGTCACATGTTAAGTATCAATCTAACTCCTGCCGTATTCCTAATTGTGTTAGTTATTCTGGACAGCTTCGGTTCAAACCCAAAGATCAAGCTGAACTTTTCAATTCTTTCTTTTATAACCAGTTTTCGGATCCTTCACTTTATGACACTGACATCTCTTATGTCAATGATGTTGATTTTGATATTGACTTCGATCATCGGGATGTTCGTAAGCTTCTTTCAAATATTAATTCAAATAAAGCCCAGGGACCAGATGGCATACACGGTAAAATTCTAAAAAATTGTTCCGTAGGTTTAGCTTACCCTCTAACATGCATTTTTCGTGGATCCTACAACAGCGGCTACATTCCACAAGAATGGAAACTTGCAAATGTTGTCCCAATATTTAAGAAAGGTAAGAAAAGTGAGGTTGAAAACTATAGACCAATATCCCTTACTTGTTTAGTCATGAAAGTTTTTGAGCGCATTGTTAAACGTAAACTGCTTTCTTTGACAAGTACCCTTCTTGATCCCAGGCAGCATGGTTTTCTAGAGCACAAGTCATGCACAACCAATATGGTTGACTTTTGTGATAGCCTGGCATTGTCTCTTAACGAAAATATTATCAATCATGTTGTGTATTTTGATTTTGCTAAGGCATTTGATTCTGTAAATCATGATATCCTTCTTCATAAGCTAAAGACCTTATATAACATTGATGGTACACTTCTCAAATTTCTTACCAATTACCTTCAAGGCCGTTACCAAAGAGTGGTTATTGGTAATGAGATGTCATCTACCCTCTCAGTTAATTCTGGTGTCCCCCAGGGCTCTATCCTTGGTCCCTTACTTTTTGTATTGTTTATCAATGATATTCCTCTTGGCCTTTCGGATAATACTGATATTGTTTTGTATGCCGATGATACAAAAATCTGGCGTAAAATACATTCATCTTCTGATAACACTAATTTACAAATGGATATAGACTATCTCTCTGACTGGGCACTAAGAAACAAAATGCGATTCCATCCAGCAAAATGTAAAGTGCTTATTGTTTCAGGAAAACCATCTTTATCTCCTCCATTCGCATATAATCTTGATGGCTTTCCTCTTGTGTATGTAGAGTTAGAAAAAGATCTTGGAGTCGATGTTACTCCTAAGCTAAGTTGGAATAGTCAGTGCGACAGAATTTATACTAAGGCCTGCCAACAACTTGGTATGGTCAGAAGAAATGGCCATATTGTCATTGATCAGAAACGTCGCCGGGCGCTTTACCTTTCCCTGGTTCGTAGCCAATTCGAAAATTGTTCCATAATCTGGCGCCCTTGTAATAAATCACTTAGTGATAAATTAGAAAGTCTCCAAAAGAGAGCTATTAAATGGATTCTGTCTGAAGAGGGCCGCAGTTATCCACCTGAGCAATATGTCAAAAAGTGCAAGCTTGTCGACATTCTCCCTTTGTCTCAAAAGTTTGACTTGAATGATTTTATTTTTTTCCACAGAGTTCTGAACAATTTAATTCCTGTATCGCTGCCTCTCTCTTTATATCAGGGCACTTCTCGACTAAGACGTTGCCACCTCGACAGTCTGTCTATTGTGTCATCAATTTTACCTAAGTTAAGTCAGAATTCACACACCATATGTACCTCAAATAGCCCACTGGCAAAATCATTTTTCTACAGAACACATATACTGTGGAATGGACTCCCTTTACAGGTAAGACAGATTGTGTCTACTAGTCTTTTCAAAGCTGAGGTCACTAAGCATCTATGGAAATGTTTATTAGATAGTGAAACAACAGTCTAGCCAAGTCTCTTTGCTCCCCATATTATTATTTTTTGTTTTATTAAGTTTTTTTATCTACCTTCCTATACTTTCAACATCATATCACACTTCACCCGCACACCTTCTCACACATTAATGACCATATCAGACCTGTATCTAATGTATCTGGAATTTGACGTATGAAATACCAATTTTGACACTATATCCACAGTTATTCACCATGGATTTGTTTGTTATTAAATAGTTTTTCATAAATTTTTGGATTTAGATTAATTCGATGTAATGGGTCCAAGTTACTGCGGACATAGTTCACTATGTGTTTACCGTGTTTGGGTGCCCATCATAGTTTACAGATGGGGGCGATATTTTGAACGATTCTATTTTATATTCATCTATTGCTGTACTCTGTAAAATTTGAAAAGTATTTAATAAAAAATGCAGAAAATGGAAAAACCTATGAGTAATTCTCCATTTTCTTCATTTATGCCATTGGCCCCCCCCCCACCCCATACGACACGATTGAGGTGCTGGAAGTTTGATTTCGGTCGAAGGAAGCTCACAGCAGAAAGTTTAACAAAACGAAAAGTCATACTTTTCAATCTCTGTCCCATTTTCAAATATGAAAATTTCTGAACACACATTTGACAGATTGGATGGACTTTTTGCCCTAAGACCAATTAGTCAGTTAATTGATGATGTTATGAAACCAAATTGAGGTACTGGAAGTCAAAATCAGGAAAAAAATTGAAAAATCATATTGTCCCAAACTCTGTCCCATTTTCAGTTTTTCAAGATGAAATTTCCAGGACCGAAATTTTACAGTTTTGACTGAATTTCTCACCCGCAACCAATTAGTCATTCAACTATAGACCCCATACGACACGATTTAGGTGCTGGAAGTTTGATTTCGGTCGAAGGAAGCTCACAGCAGAAAGTTTAACAAAACGAAAAGTCATACTTTTCAATCTCTGTCCCATTTTCAAATATGAAAATTTCTGAACACACATTGACAGATTGGATGGACTTTTTGCCCAAAGACCAATTAGTCAGTTAATTGATGATTTTATGAAACCAAATTGAGGTACTGGAAGTCAAAATCAGGAAGAAAATTGAAAAATCATATTGTCCCAAACTCTGTCCCATTTTCAGTTTTTCAAGATGAAATTTCCAGGACCGAAATTTTACAGTTTTGACTGAATTTCTCTCCCGCAACCAATTAGTCATTTGAACTATAGACCCCATAGGGGCGGCCAATGGCATAAACCCCATAGGGGCGGCCAATGGCATAAAATGGCATAAAATGGCATAAAATGGCATAAAATGGAGAATATTTCTATGGAGAAAATGGAAAAACCTATGAGTAATTCTCCATTTTCTTCATTTATGCCATTGGCCCCCCCCCACCCCATACGACACGATTGAGGTGCTGGAAGTTTGATTTCGGTCGAAGGAAGCTCACAGCAGAAAGTTTAACAAAACGAAAAGTCATACTTTTCAATCTCTGTCCCATTTTCAAATATGAAAATTTCTGAACACACATTGACAGATTGGATGGACTTTTTGCCCAAAGACCAATTAGTCAGTTAATTGATGATTTTATGAAACCAAATTGAGGTACTGGAAGTCAAAATCAGGAAGAAAATTGAAAAATCATATTGTCCCAAACTCTGTCCCATTTTCAGTTTTTCAAGATGAAATTTCCAGGACCGAAATTTTACAGTTTTGACTGAATTTCTCACCCTTAACCAATTAGTCATTCAACTCTAGACCCCATAGGACACGATTGAGGTGCTGGAAGTTTGATTTCGGTCGAAGGAAGCTCACAGCAGAAAGTTTAACAAAACGAAAAGTCATACTTTTCAAACTCTGTCCCATTTTCAAATATGAAAATTTCTGAACACACATTTGACAGATTGGATGGACTTTTTACCCAAAGACCAATTAGTCAGTTAATTGATGATGTTATGAAACCAAATTGAGGTACTGGAAGTCAAAATCACGAAGAAAATTGAAAAATCATATTGTCCCAAAGGGCGAGTACATGTTCAGGAGGCTGAAGAGACGCTTGTAACGCCTTCTTGTTACCCCCCTTTGAGGGCCCCGAATTATTTTCTGAACGAACGCTCAAAAATAACCGAGAAATCGACCTTCTTATTAACTCATTTTGATGACCGTTTCTAACCTAAAATTATCACCTCCCCGCCAGTATCCACATCTATTAATCAGTTAATTGATGATAGTATGAAACCAAATTGAGGTACTGGAAGTCAAAATTCCGAGGTTATTTTTTGGACAGATATATCACAGTTTTTACTGAATTTTGATACACTAACCGCACCGATTAGTCTATAATATAAAGTCTATAATTTGTAAAAACTATAGAATATAAATTATAGATGCTATAAGGATTAACTAAGCGGATTAACTAATTATAAATTGTGAACAACCAACTTGAAATTTTGGGGAAGCACTTCAATTATCACACCAAATGTGTCTAGAAACTTTGAAGTTTTTTAAACTAACTATATTATATACAGTACTAGATTGAACTTGTCGGGTTGTGACTAACCTGATTGTGTTTGATAGTTCCTCCCACAAATACAGAGGGAGAGAGAAGAGTGGGGGGCACCCCCGCTAATTCCCCTACAGTTGGGATCAGACTCTTGTTGTTGAGCAGGAAGTTGAACACACCCTGTACCTGACTTCCTTGTACTCGTACCAGCGATCTTATACTGTGATCTAGAAAATATTTGGAATATTTACTTGTATTAACCGCATGATATACTTTGATACGGTGGGGGTAAACCGTTCTTTACAAATTACACGTGTTCTTTACACGTGTCTTCTGGAATTTCAAATGGTCGCTGCTGGTAAATTAAAGGCTGTCACGTGTCAGGTGACTCAACTCCCCATTATGACATGGCTATCGATTCATTATACAATTCATTAACATGAAGTTTATAGTACATAAACGTGGTTAAAAACAGACAGATCAATTTTTTCGTCTCACAAACAAGATGAGGAATTGTCAATCAGTCCGGAATATTTCCACTGCAACCCCCCCCCCCCCCCACCACTCAACTAACCTAGCTTTAATCGGCCAGCTGCTCGCATCTTTACAGTAGAAGGATCCAGTTCACTATATCTCTTACTGTCTATACCCAAACTATCGAGGAAGTCTCTAGCGTCGCCAGTCTCTCCATTGGTATCTGACGTACGTGTTAAATAAATTATAAGTAGCTGATTCACAGGTCATAACACAAAAGTATTAGACACAGTCTCATTCAACTGTGTTACCTTTTTAATACAACATTATAATCGACTCCTTAGGTTGTTATATATTGTAATTTTGAGATTAATATAGCTGACCTAGATTTTCCTGCTCCAACGTTTGGGCGTTAAGAACCTCCTGGGCGAGAGGCATCGTAAACTCAATATCTGAAATGGATTTGTTGTTACTTTTGAACCAACAAGCACAGTGCACACCAAGTAAAAGCCTTTACATCTTGAGATATAAGATTTACAATGAACCTAATATTTTTTGGAAATGAGGTTTGTTAATCACTAATCAGCGAGTACATGGAACCCCCCCCCCCCCCCCCTCCAAATGTACCTTCTTGTTTCAGAGAGTTTCGTACACCGTATGTAGTGGGAACCAAATCAGCACACAGCCCCTCCGCCCTGCTCCGGAATAGCACAGTAGTCTGGTGACTACACACGTAGAAATAGGGACAGTGCCCTGCTTTCAGGAGCCCAAATAAACTCTCAAACGAAGCACACCTAAAGTTGAGAGCACTTCAAAATGCTTAATAGTAATTTTGGGTATAGCTGGTTGTACAAGGAATTCTAGTATGTTAAAAAGACAGAAGTATGTTAAAAAGACAGAAGTATGTTAAAAAGACAGAAGTATGTTAAAAAGACAGAAGTACGTGATCGATAACAAAATGTGAATAAGTTTAATTTCTACAAATACGTATATATATACGCGCGTGCGTTTGTTGTGATTCCTGAACACCCAAGGTTTTACTCAATGCGCGTTACGTAAAATTTTGGCGGGAAGCTTTAGGGTCCGCTATGCGCCTATGCTGCAGGCTGCACTACATGAAGGATATACATCATACATGACAGCGTTTACGCTTTTATTTCGATAATCTTAATGTTGAGAGCTTTATCAGACTATTTCCCATCAAAGTATATGATATTTTGTCTAAATGACGTCCCCCAGGGCCCAGCGCCAGTCGTTGCATCACTTTTTACATGATCTAGTTAGGTTTAGTACTGCACCTGTTATCCCAGTTATGCAATTCTATGTAAGGTTATGCAATATGTACAGTTATTGCATATGTAATAAGAAACTTAAGTATAGATCACTATTTTACAAGACTACCTTATAATATAACTCTCACCAATCATTGAGCAATCCTGTTAAAGCTTCTTGTTTGAACACTGTATTTTCGGATTTGCTGAAACAACGGGTGTTGGTAAAAAATGTTATTGAGGCTTGAAAATTATAAATCACATTTTCATAATAAACCAAGGAGTAGAGTATAGTAGAGTATAGTAGAGTATAGTAGAGTATAGTAGAGTATAGTTGAGAATAGTAGAGTATAGTAGAGTATAGTTGAGTACAGTAGAGTATAGTAGAGTATAGTTGAGTACAGTAGAGTATAGTAGAGTATAGTAGAGTATAGTAGAGTATAGTAGAGTATAGTAGAGTATAGTAGAGTATAGTAGAGTATATTAGAGTATAGTAGAGTATAGTAGAGTATAGTAGAGTAAGATACAAACCTGACGGAGGGTCTGTCCCTAGGAAAGAGTTTTAGCCAGGGTATGTTTGGGTGGACCCAATAAGACAGATAATATCTCAATCTCTCTCTGTCAGAGCAACCCTCCTGTAAATGTTATAAAACTTAATATTTCTAATTTTAGATACCCAAGCATGCTTAAATAGAGAACTTATCAATAATATGGCAGATCCTACAGTATGACTACAGTATGACTACAGTATGATTACAGTATGACTACAGTATGACTACAGTATGATTACAGTATGTGAGTATGACTACAGTATGACTACAGTATGACTACAGTAAGACTACAGTATGATTACAGTATGATTACAGTATGACTACAGTATGACTACAGTATGACTACAGTAGGACTACAGTATGACTACAGTATGACTACAGTATGACTACAGTATGACTACAGTATGACTACAATATGACTACAGTATGACTACAGTATGACTACAGTATGACTACAGTATGACTACAGTATGACTACAGTAGGACTACAGTATGACTACAGTATGATTACGGTATGATTACAGTATGACTACAGTATGACTACAGTATGACTAACGGGGGACTGGTGAGCAGCCAGAAGTTTAGTACAGCAAGCCTCCTCACTAGGCTTGAGAAGTGCGAGAGAACACCACTTAAAGGGTTTGCTACTCTGTAACTTGTACTCCAGCTTTACCGACCAATCTCTAGGTGGAACTGAAAAGGTACTCTTGCTGGGCAATAATCCAATCTCCTGTAATATAATATAATGTAATATTTTATTATTATATATGTAATATAATATAATGAGTGTGCTGTTAAATTATCAGGTTATAAAATAAAAAGTAATTACATTACATCGAATTATATTCAGACTTCAACATCAGAATGGACGCTAAAAAGTTAAAACGTGACATGGTAAAACCTGCAATAATAGACAATATGATCTGAGATTTCAAAACCTGTTATGCCGGAAAGGGGCTTGGTTCAAAAAGTAATATTTCAGTTATTTTTGATATGTATTTTGAAATGTAATAATTTATCTATAATTTAAAACAAAAATTGAACTGATTGACCTATTTGTTAGATTTTAAGGGCCATTCAAAATTTGGACACGATTCTTGAAACACCCTGTACATATTAGTTTTAGTTTCTTGCTTCCAGCACTAAGTCAGATTAGGACTATTCAAATCAACTATCTCTTACATAATCAGCATCCTACACAAAGCACTAGACCTGTTTGTACCAAAACAAACAGCCTCATCTACGATGATATAACAGAGGTGCAGATAAGATGAAACTGAGTAGATGACTCATCACGTGGCTCAGAACTGCGGTAGTCAACTCTTTCAATTTAAATTTGCATTTTTAAAGCACATCAGTTTTTGAAATGCTTATTTTGCGAGGAATTTTGATATGTGTTTTGGTTGTTTTATTCTAGATAATTTGTTTTATAACCTTTCTGAATTGTTTTTATTTAAATTCGTACGGTTTTGTAGTTTGTACCGGCTATTCAAAAAGGAATTGGTTATCTTATTGATAGGTGATACAGACACAGTGTTTATCACGTGACTTAACTATGGAGGGCACAACAAACGTTCAAGACAGGAAAGAAATTGCAGGAAAGTATCGATAAAATATACTATATACAGAAATATTGCCACTGATAAGATCCCAATGACAGTAAAGAACATTTCAGAAAAAATTCTTTTGTTATTTTAAATTTGCATTTAGTACAGATAATTAAATTTTCACGTGATCCATTCCGATGTACTATTTATTGAAAGGAAGTAAGGATATAGTGCTGTTATTTGCAGCACATTTTTCTTCTTCCATTTCCATCCTGTGTTTTGTTCATTCGGCAGAAAATTGTACACAAGTAATTACTCGATAGCAAGTATCAAGGAATATCAGTCTTATATTGTTAGAATTATTTCTTGTTCGTCAGAATTCTTTCTCATTAAAACCACCCTAGAACAGCGAACCTCTCCAGGATATCACACCAGAACCATTCGACATAATATATTGTTACTGAACCAATTTAGTGTTGTATTATCTACAAGTTACCCGGTACTCGTAATCAAGTTATACTTCTAATCAAATTATACTTTTAATACTTTCAACACTACTATATAACAAATAATTTGAGGCTCTAACGATGTAGTTTTACGAAGATTTCAAGCCTTTTTTGTTGTGTATTTCCCTTTGTGTCCAAAAGCATAGCAAATTATACTTCTTGTCATTGTAAGATGTTCATTCAGAAGTCAAGCTTATTGTCTTGTTCCAATGATTCTGCAAGAAGTTTCCGTCCTCGTCTGCTATCAGTTTAGAAGATCGGAGAGATAAATTACATATCGTAGTGTGTGACGTGGTGAATTACTATCTAGTGCTACAGATAATTAGTAATTAGAAAGTCTTTTATTAGAATCAGCATCCTACACAAAAATATCAGATCTGTTCGTACCAAGTTGCAAAATTAGAATTAATCAATAATCAGTAGACCATGGCTAAGATGAAACTGAGTAGCTGACGTAGGAACAGGATTGTCCGATCACCTCATCACGTGATTCCCACCTTATCACGTGTCACTAAACTGTGCCACTGCAAGGCTTGAGAGGTGGTATTGTTAGCCAGTATCTAGTCAAAATTGGTTACAATATGTTCAATTTTCAAGCTAGTTTGAAAAATTTTCAACACTATCTACACTGTTTTTTTGCATTATTTGATTTAAATATTTAAATATAATTATACTTATAGTGTTTAAATGATACGTGTTTAAGTAACCTTCTTCTTATGACCCTGGTAGATTCAACATGCACATTTGGTATATTTGCTCATGCGTGATAAATCATAGACTAAGATATGAAGCCAAACTAAGCATCTAATTATAAATTGCCTATTATATATTGCCTATATTATATTGCTTTGTAAGTTGTATATAAATGTGGCCTGCAGTCATTTAGTCTTTACGATCTGAAACTTGACGAGTTCATTTTTTAGTTGTAAAGCTTTGACTTAATAATTCCTGAGCCTTCAAAATCTATTTGCTGAGATTTACTGAGCTTTAACTATACATACATTTTCAAAATTAAAAAATACCTTCCTCCCCGTTTTATGTAATTTACATCATTTTGAGCCAATTGAAAAATTGTATTTTTATTAATAACTAATCCAATTAACTGAAAAAGTTTTCTCATTGATAAGATAAACAACCTCGATTAGTTCGCAGCATTCTACGATGTTCCCAACTAAAGATATTTAAAAACAAGAAAGGCGGGAAAAAGTGGCCTTAAGACTCCTGAAAATGTTTGGGAAATAGGTGTCCATTTTCGCAAATTATCGATTATGACAACAACCCTATATTATCATGACGACAGTAACAAAACTGCTTATGGCATTAAAAGTGATGCTATAAGATACACTTGGGCAGGATACTTTCTATTCGTCATTGCTTCATCGTTAATAGGAGACACAGCCATTCTCATAGGATCCATAAAGTACAACGCCATTAAACTTCACCGAGTCATCATTGTCATCATCCAGCACATAGCATTCTGTGACCTGATTGTATCTGCTACCTACGTTCTCCCAAAGTTGGTCTCTGTCCTTTCTGATGAGTGGGAGCTAGGAAACGTCTTCTGCTACATGTGCTCCTATGGACAGTTCTTTTCTAACCTGACGAGTTGGTTGCTAATCTGTGCCATGACAACAAGCAAGCTGCTCCTCCTCAAATATCCCCTCCAATTTAGAACAACCTCTTTGAAGAAAGCGCACTTGATCTGCTTGGCATGCTGGTTGGCATCTTTCACTTTCCCTGTGATTCTCCTTGCCGGAGATAAAGATGATGTTTTCTTTTCGTATAGGGGTTATCTATGCGATTATGGTTTCTCATCGGAGATTTGGCACTATCTGAGGCCTTTTATTGCAGTGGTGTACGGATTTATTCCACCATGCCTGGTTGTATCAACCACTCTTTGTTTGCTGATTACAGCCAGCAAGTTTGTTTCCCGGAGCAGGAAAAATTTAAAGTGGCAGGGGATCGTGACAACAGTCCTTACAGCCACTGTTTACTGCATATCTCTCCTACCATACGTTGCTTACCATATCGGGAAGTCTATCGTGAATCTAGAAGATAAGAGCTCATTCCACACCGCATTCCACACCACTTTTTATAGAGTTGCACTCTCGCTCACGTCTTTAAACACCATGAGCAACTTCTACATATATTGCCTGACCGTGACTAGCTTCAGAGCATTTATCCGGTCGAAGATGCAGCTGTCTTATCAGTACATTACCAACGTGGAAACTTCTACAACCCATGGTAATTAAATATTGATATATAAATATTAATACCATCAATATTTATTTATCAACTTTATTGTCCTGACAGCGGGATTATAATTGAATAGCTTCTGATATTTTACATTTACAATGAAATTTTTGTACTCATTTTTTTCAGGAGAAAGGAGGATTGGCACAGAAGCGAATAATGTAAACGTGGATGAAGGTATTGAACAAACACCAGTTTGATTGTGAAATAGTGACCCAGAAAATTATTAGAAATAACAATATACAATATGATTGCAAGAAGAGAATGATCCTGGCAGAATCAGCTTAAGACTCTCAGGCAATATGGGGGTAAAAATTTCATGGAATAAAATCTTGACAATCTAACGTACTTGACACCTTGCTTATTACTTTGTTATGATCACTAACCTGTTTGCAATTTTGAATGAGCAGTATATATTGGTTTTATTTTTCCTTGATTATTGTTTATTTCTCTCCGTTTCCATCATTGTTTCATTTTCAGGAATTCTTTACAACAAACGATTGTGATTTTTGTTACTTTTCAACTTTTGGCATTAATTAAGCTTTTTTAAATTTACTAATTTAATGTTAGTAAATGTATGTCATTCTTAAGATATTATCATGATTGTAAAGGTTTACATGACCGGCAGTTGAGTTCACTTGCGTGTTTTTTTGACTTCTGTGGCTAACTAATGTGTATATAATAATAATATACTTGCTTAAGAGATTAGAGATGGCATCAAATTTTTTGCGTATGCTCAAATATCGGCATATATTATGGTTTTGACTCATAACAAAATCTGGGTTTTGGGCATGTTGGACCAAATATGGGCATAGTTTTGTTGGTCCTAGTTTGTTGGTCAACTGAACTGCTATTTTGTAAACAAGTTTCACAAACAAAATCAGGGTAAACCCCCCTTTAAGGCCATTACTTGTAACAGTCAAAATGAATTCTTATTATATATTATTTAACACTTACTGGCTGTGAATTTGAAGTGAGTTCTGGCAAAATATAGCTTGATTCACTTGAACCCTGAAAATAGATTCAATGATAGTGATAATCTATATTATATTGATCAATAATCAACAAGTGTGATGAAGTATCATAATATTAAAGTATCATATTAACACTGCTGTAAAACGTCAGTGTAAGTATATGTTTTTAGTCGTCCGAAAATACCAATAATATCATGTTACAATGTTATGTCAATCAAAGTATCAAAGTGCATAGTATTTCTGAGTGTAAGGATACCACCCAAGTTTAACTATCTGGCAGTAACTCTTCAAATTGAGAGAATCATACATCGTATTTTATGTATGTACAATTATTTTATTCAGCTGACCTGTGAAGATGGCGTTTTGTTAAGAACCATATTGAAAATGTTATCCGGCTGTGTAGAACCGGTGTTATCTTTAATGTCTAGTAAGTTCTGTGTTTTTCTCACACTTTGAAACGGGTTCATGAGTTGTCGTTTGCAAATCTGAGGATAACAGAAATATTATTATACTATAAAGTTAATTTAGCTTGCCAAAAATGAAACATTATTACTTTACCGGCAAAAACAAGTTTAGAATTGACTTATATAAACTGCATTGTAATTAACTAAAGTGCCCAGGACACTGGTTATACAAACCTCATCACCGTGACAGTAGTTTTTCTTGACAGTCTTCTTTTCTTTCTTTTCCTTTACATACGGGTCACATTGTGTTCGCTGGGAAGCACCAAATTTCTTCCGTTTCAGTTTCATCATCATTGGAGGTTTCAAACATTTGTTGTTACTCATCATGAATCTCAGACTAAGATGAAATCACATCAATAAAGTAATGTCATTTTCAAAGAGTTAAACGGACTCCACTCATTGTTTCAGAATATTTAGTTCAGATATCTTTAAAGAGTATCGATCCTGGACTGAATTTATCAGTCTTTAAATCAAATTTATTTTTCAGATTTAATTAATTTATCAATTGATTCATAAATCTAACCTCATGGTTGAATAATGACCATTGCTGAAATTATCTGCATATATAATTTTAAAGAAAATTTAAAATCGATGGACTTTGCTGACAATTGCATCACTTAATTTGAATGAATGTATCATTTTATAATTTTCTTGTATAGATTTTTCAGTACACTCCCAATGTAAACAAGAAATGCGGCCGCTTTTCTTTTGTGGATGGCCGCTCAATTTCCCGATCCGTGATGGCGTATTTTATCATATTCCATACCACCTGGGGACCCCAGTCATACACCAAATGGGCATTATATTTTATGAATTGTTTTACATCTTTTTATTCTGTAAAATGTGCTAAAATTAAATTTCTTGTTTCATTGAAAAAATGTCTTGTTTCATTGAGTCTTTACTGTTTATAAGCATGCAGATATGGCGGAGTGACAGGCCGAGCACCGCCCAGTTAATATAATTCCATATTGAATTTGAAAATCGTGTATCGTGTATATTATGTTACCATATGTTTATTGTTTATGCAACCTGACACGGATCTGTGCAAAATAGTAATACTAATTCAAAATAATAATAATATGCTATCAATTAGTCCCTAGCGGGATGTGTACATGGTGAAATTAACAAATACAATGTACTTGAACAGTTCAGCACCGCGCGCCAACAATTTATTAATTCAGATTATCGCGAAAATCACTTTGCGCAGGCAGAAACGTGGGCGATAACTGGGGGCAAGGGCATGTACGCACGCTTGCACACACGCTCGCACGCACGGTCGCAAGCTAACATATACAAAAAAACCTTGTTTGCTAACCCTTGCCCTTCGGCACTTTGAGTCATGGAACGGGAAAAAATAAAATAATTACTTGACTAATGTTTCCTTAGGGCAAGTGAACTTGGGTGCACAGGTGAATAAAAATGCAATAAATTTAACATTATTCTAAGGACTTCGTTAGGTCCATCCATACCCCTGTAGACGGCTAATTTACCGGCTAATATAACCGGGAAATCTGTGATCAGGGGTTAAATGAAGAAGGACCGTCAAAACTTACTTACTTACTTAATTCATAGTTTGGGGTGAAGCAGCACTCCTTAGGACAGCATCTAGCTGGCCCGGAAGCACTGCAAACGAGCTTTTGGATGATTATGAAGCAGAGTCAGACATAATAGACATTGGAAAAGTTTCTAACATTTTCAAACCACTTTTAAAACACTCGACTTACTCGACTTAGGGCGGCTTCAACGTCCGAACAGAGATAGTTTTCTTCCAAATCTGTCTATCCAGCATGAGTTTGTTAATCTCCATGCTGTCGTCAAGCCCCCTGTCCTTCCGAAGAATGTCAATATATGTGAGATGTGGTCTTCCCCTTCGACGATGTCCTTGAAGGGGTTCCCAGAAAACAGGGGTTTTAAAACAACATAACATTATGGCATTTAAAAATTTGTATACATACCACATGCAATGCTTTTATGACATTCTTCAAACTTTACTGGGCGGCGCTCAGCCTGTCATTCCGCCGAATCTTATATTTATGAACATTATAGCCTGGGGTCCACAGGTAATTCAAACTCAGTCGTCCAACATCATAATTGCAGCATTACACATTATATATATATCGTATAGAAAGAAAATCACTCACATTACATCACACAGTCACAATGCCATTGATTTAATAATTTTGAAAATTTAAATGAAAATCTATCAAAATTTTTAGCAAAATAGCACCAAAACTTAAGCTTTTTGAGAATTGGGCTCGCTTAAAGTCCCATATACACTATATAAAGGCATAATAAAGCTGGGTCGTGGCGATTATAATTAAATAAAAACGCTCTGTGCAGGTTCATACTTCATACACACTGCTTCCGCTCTATATGCAATATGGTTATGTTTGATCAACCACGTTGTTGATTGACGATGTTAATTATGACGGGCAATTATTATGTATTAGCCTAAAGTGTTTTGGTCCCTCATTCCTGCTTGCCACTCATATCATCATTGCCGACGTGCGCCGGTCGCCCGGTCAGTCCGTTAACAATGGACATCATTTTCGACGCCATTTGGAGGACTTCGACGCTTCGACGCGCCACGCAAACTAGCATTCTTGCTTCGTATCGAAGATGGTTGCAGAGCAACGATCTGGAATAGAAGGGTTGACATTATCAATCAACGCCGCCATGCACTAATATAACTAGCAGGAACCCGTCTAACCCTAAAGTGGCATGGTGACAAGACTCAAGAGACTAAAATAATTAATATCTATTTAATTCGCGTTTTTGACACCACTTGGAGGTCCAAATTTTGGGTACTAAAATTCTTATTCCTTGGCCAATATTTTATTTTTCATGCTGATTTGAAAGTTAACGGGTGATACTCGTAAAATATTTGTTCCAACTCGGCGCGCGTCCTGGTAGGTTGTAAACCTACAAATTTGAAGGCCATAAAGGCATTTGACCCAGTCATAAAAGTTTCAGTTGTATATCTTTTACGGTTTTTGCGGAAAGTCGCGTTAAAGTTGATGCCGTGGTGTCAGTAAAATTGCACAATTCCATCCATGTATATTATATCGTCTCGCTTTATATATAGTAAGATATAAATCTTTGCTCTTTCTAGAGCAGAGCACGTAAACTTGAGTTTGCATGTTGCAGTAACGCGGTAGCGCGCCCGCAGTGGCGTGATTACCTGGGGACCTCATGCTATCATGTTCATAAACATAGAATAGAGATTAGGCGGAATGACAGGCTAAGCGCGGCCCAGTAAGATAGCCTGAGGTACCCAGGTAAAGGGTATCATAGTACCTTCCCTACTATATACGCGTATGATTTCCACTTAATTAGACATTAGAGTTGCTCGATTCTTCATGAGTGATGATAGGTAGTGCGCCATCGACAGTGAGCCGCGCGTGCCGACTGTAGGATGGTTTTTTAGCACTAATTTCGGCCAGCACAATTTTCTTCAAACAAATAGATATTGAGTATAGTATCCTTCCCGACCTCCAATTGCAACAAAAATTGGTAAGCTTACTCATAGACTTACAAAGAAAGTGTCCGGAAAATTTAAAGCTTATCCAACCATCAGACATTATGTTCACATAGCCATGTGTATACTGTATACGCGTACTGCGTGACGCGCTTGTTTCACAAGTTAAATATATATATATATATTTGCCGCCCTCGGCGGTCGCGCGCTACTGCAAGCGAGAGGGCTCTGGTTAGAGCAAGACATTATGTTACAGCTAAAAGCAGCGTATTTTGCCCCATTTTGATCACTATATCAACTCCGATATCCACCAAATTTTTCGAACAGTTAATTGTGAAAGCCCTATTGGAAGGACGTCGCCAATTTTCAGAATGATCTCATTCAAGGAACCGAAGATATATCCGAATAATACGACAAAAATCAACGAATTTGGTCAAATTACGCACTTTTTACAGCTAATTTTGCTCCAAAAGCCGCGCACCATTAAATATGGCACCTAGGCGAAACTCACTGATCTTTCCAAAAAGGTATGACAAATTTGGTATTGTGAAAATTCTCACAGTCTCTAGAAAACAATGGTACACAAATTTTTAAAATCCGAGCAAGTTTATTTTTATCGTGCACCCCCTAGTGATGAATTTATAATTATATTTAATTTTATATTCATGTGTCACGTCATACATCATTGCATTGGAAATGGGAAAGGAGCAGTCAGCAGTGGAATAGCAAACGATCGCGATCGCAATAAAAATAAAATTATTTGTTATAATTTAGGAAACAAGGTTCCTTGAATTAGATCATTCTGAAAATTGGTGAAGACCTTCCAATAGAAATTTCACAACTGTCCGAAAAATTTGATAGATATCGGATCAGTTGATATAGTAATGAAAATGGGGAAAAAATGGGGAAAAATACGCTGCTTTCTTCAGCTGTAAAATAATGTTTGGATATGCTTTAAATTTTTCAGACACTTTCCTTGTAAGTCTATGATTAAGCTAACCAATTTTTGTTAAAATTGGATCAAGGGAAGGTTACTCATTACGCATTTGTTTCAAGAATTTTGTGCTGGCCGAAATTAGCGCTAAAAAACCATCCTACAGTCGGCACGCGCGGCTCACTGTCGATGGCGCACTACCTAATTATATTAAGGTATTGTGCTAACTTGTGTTAGGTTAATTAACTGGTCTCGTGTGTACACTTTTGATCAGGAAAAAGCATAATGTATATCATGGGTCAGAACGAATCCATAATATATATATAACAATTGTATCACGTTGCGACCCCCACGGTCGTTTCACTATCGTTCTGACGATACAGGGGGAGCCGCGCACTTCGTGCGCGGCGGGTCATACAACGTATGACAATATAACAACAGGTTCTTTCAGTCTAATGTGATTACCGTCTCGAAAGTTTGCACGAAGTCAATCCTGTAAACGTATTATACTTGTCTAGTAATTTAGTAATTTCTAGCATGTGTTTTCCTTTTCAGACTATCACCGGTCACGCCAAATTATGAATTATAATGAGTATGACATCAGTGTGTTTAATTTTAAAGTAATCGTTGACATCACTCCGTAACGGCGCGTCTTTTGGCGCGTATTTTGCTGCAATTCATCAATTCCTCGCTAGATCGGCGAGATGCGCTACTGTGCCGCGCCGAGCTGCGATGAATTGACATCGTCAATTAAGTAACTACTAGTTACTGTAACTAGTTTGAATGTTTGACTCTCCGTTTCTGCAAAATCTCAATTACGAAGTTCATTAGAAACGCGAAATTTTTATTGTTCAAGATTGTCCATTTTACCAATGTTAAGATTTGGACCTGTTTAAAATCATCCGATACTTAATTTGTACCCTTTAGGCAAACATTTCTGTTAAGTCTCAGTAAGAATTATGTTTTAATACCACTTAAATGAATGGAACTGGTTGTCACGTTACGATATTCAACGTTATAGTCAGACTCTAAATTTCAATACATTTAATGGATTTGTATTTTGATCTAGTTTAAAAGTAAAACATATTGCCTGTTAACTTTCTTACTCTGTCGTAGACATGGATTATAAGAGCATCTTTTAAATTGCATTTGATGTTGAACTTTTAGTATTCTTATCTCGAAACAAGGACAAAAGAAAATAGCGGCGAAAATATCGAAAATCGCGGCGAATTCGTAAAAATTTCCACGGTTCTTCATTTAATCGATTCTACGTTCAAAAATACGTCTAGTAAGGTGTAACTGGGGTCCCTAGCGTTTCTAGCAGACAATGCCCGTAAGAGCCTCTATTATCAATTTTCAAGTGAACAAATTGTTCTTAGGCACGTGGTTCTGGAACAAATAGTCCTACGGCATATTATTATTATGGTTTTGCAGCTAAGTGGCTTTTTGTGGGCGACTTAGAGGTGGCGGCATGTTGCCAGCATTGTGGCATCCTTTGTAATTGTATAACATTTTCACTATCACTATGTTCGTAGAAATATTTCCTTTACCCTCATGAGCTTTTGTCCATATTGTGTTGGCAAAGGTATGTTATAAAGTTATAATATAGATTAATCGTCTTAACAATTGGTCAATGTTCTCATTAACCAATACATACATTGTTCCAAATCTCACTTAACAAATTAACTTCTAACTAACCTTATGCCGAACACATTTTACATCACCTACGTATTATGTTATTTCCTCATCTTTGCCTTTGTTCATAAGAGGGCCTCTGTATATAATCGTTTTCTGAATGTTTGCAGTTTCCAGACATTGATTGGGGTGTTTAGTGGTTAACTTTATGTCTAGTGGTAAACTTATGTCTAGTGGTCTAAGTTTTTATGTCTAAGTTTTAGGGAAGTTAGGAAGTTTTTGGTTAACAATGTTACGTCAGCAGACGAATGGGTTAAGAAATGCTTGTGAAAGTGGATTCCTGGAAACCAATTTTTCCACGGTTCATGCTACCCTGATCATTATGATACTAAAATATTTTTTTCGGTTTACTGAAGTCCGTACTTAGTATCTAGTAGTAGTACCTACCTCTCGAAATACGATTTTGGAAGTTTTTCGACTGAAACTACTTTTATTCATGTTTCATGCAACTAGCAGTAGCTCTGATCATTATGAACTGAAAATATTTTTCGGCCTTCTGAAGTCCGTACCTACATTCGAAAGGCTGTGGATGTGATTGGTTCCATATACTTATAACTTTATAAAGAACGTGATATTTGGCCTTTCGGATTTAAAGGAGAATGCGCAAATTTGGTCCTCAGATTTAAAGAAAAATGCGTCAAAAATCGCGATTTGTCGCGGAGAATGGGACAAATCGCGATTCTGCACGTGCCGCGATTTCCTTTTGACCTTGTCTCGAATTGTTTAGAAAAATTGATAAACGTCCTCACAATTCTGATATAGAACAACCTCACCATTTCATATAACAACCCTCATCAGAAAAGGAATGGGCTTGGACTACGGGTCGGACAACCGCCTCGCTCTCGTCACTCCTGATGACGACCTAAACGAGAAAGAGTCCCTGACAATAGATCAAGTTGTGGACAAAATATACCAGGGCCCAACCATCAAGTTGTTCCTGGTATTTTGGACGGCTGTAGCGGTTATGTATGTGACAGCGGCTGAGACCTACATAACAGTGTTCACAGGTCGTATTCCCTACACGGAGTGGACATGTGTCTCAGAAACGTGTCAGAGTTTGTATGTGGCAGCTAACATCTCCGACTCCTTCTACTCTGAGAAGTCAATGTGTGATAATGAGCTGGTTGCTGGGACTGACTTCAGTTGGACGAGCACGAGAACTACTTTCTCTATAGACTGGGGCATCTACTGTGGTACTGAGTCTAAACTCTCCCTGGCGTCCAGCTTGTTCTTCATTGGGGCTCTTCTGGGATTGCTGACTTCTACTGCAATATTTGATAAGTTTGGGAGAAGAAATGGAGGGATTGTTGGGTCTTTCATTTCAGCTTCAGCTACATTAGCAGGGGTATGGACACCTAATTATGAGGTCTTGCTTGCCATCAGGATAGTCCAGGGATACGGTTCGTTCATGAGTTTCACTGGGGTTTACTGCTGGATACTTGAATTTGCACCTAGCCACCTCCGGTGCAACATCAACACCATTACCATCTTTGCTTGGAATTTAGGCTTTTTCCTCATGGTTGGCTTGGCTTACTTCATCACAACATGGCAGTATATATTCCTAGCCGCTGCTGTTATCAACTTCGTGTGTATCATTTCTCTTTTTATCTACCCAATATCCCCACGATTTGCACTGGTCCAGGGACGTGATGAAGATGCTAAGGAGATCCTGCAATCATACTCACGAATATGGTCAAGTTCGGAGACAACCTGTACATTTTTTACTTTTTTAGAAGTGTGTGGTGGAGCCAGCTCAACACAGACTGAAACTCCCTGATTATATGGCTGACAAGACATTTTTCAGGACTTTCTCTGAGTAAAAAAATAAAATTAAAAGGTTGAACGGTTGAGCAGATACAGGTGGTATTAAACAAACCCTTAAAAGGTGGAGATTTAAGGTGGAGACTGGCTCTGGTTGAAGAAACTTTTGATTAAGGTGGAAAAGGTTATTGGTAACACAAACTACATCAAATTTGCAATCTGATGGTTTTATCAATATTTTATTTAAGTGCTCAACCTAGGTGGAGAAATTAAATGCACTTTTCAAAGCTGCTCAACCGGGGGCGGAGAAAGGTTTAGAGAGTTCTAGGTTAGCTAGAAAGTTGCGTCTCGGCCTTTTCTACTTCCCGTTAAATTTTGTTTTTTCCATTGACGCTCAACAGGGTGGAGATCTTTCATTAAGAAACAGTAAAAAGCCTGTCAAAACATGCCTAAATTCATTAGTTTTATCACTAATTCTAATCTGCTCTGTCAACTGCTACTGTAGGGGATCATAAAACTGTTACCCCTTCTGTCTTAAAGCAAAGTGTTCTAGCAAATGAAAAAACTATCAAAGTTGTGAAAAGGTGCTCAACAAGGTGGAGAAATTGTTGATTAAACATCAAAACATTAAAAAATGCATTAAATCTGGCCCCACCGGGTTGAGTTGAGCTTAGGCAGTTGATTTCTGGAAGAAATAACATTTGGTGACCCTTTAGCATGTATACAACTCATCAAACTAGCCATCAACCACTCAACCGCGGTGGAGAACCTTGACTTCTGAGGTCAAATTTACGCCCAAATTTGCCAAATTTGAGTCTCCACCTATGTTGAGTGTACGTTTTAGCAAGGATGCCTTGTAATATGAGTTGGTAGATGATTTAGAATCATTGGTATTGCAAATGGACTGCCACAGTCACTCTACAGCTCCTAAACTACAGAATAGCAGATTTTGAACTGCATGTTATGCTGTCTCCACCTCGGTTGAGCCGATTCTGAGGATCCTATTCTATGAAATATGATTGGTATAACCCATAATATTAAATATTAGGACTTTGGAGCAATTAAAAAGCATGAGAGGGTTAGTTCTAGTCACTTATATTAGCTCATGTAGTCAGTGAGCTGCTCCACCTGTGTTGAGCAGACAAACCTACTCAACCGGCACTTTTTGAGTACCCACCTGTCTTACGTAACTTTAAATTGTGAAATTTGGAGTAAATATTTTTTTCATAAGTGATTTACAGCTCCTTTATGTTTGTAATTTTCAGGTGGCCACTGTCTCCACCAAGGTTGAGTTATTTAAATTTTGAACCCAGATATAATTATAGAAAGGTTAGGAGTATAATATCTGAAGAGCCTGTACCCCTTGGACTGTCAGAGGAATTATAATTAATTTTACCGTTGATGGCAGTGAAATGAGTGTAATTAGTGACTGATTTTATGTACAGGTTGTCTCCGAACTTGACCATATGCGGTAACGAGATGTCGATGGAGTCTGTGGATTTGGTGTACAAGGACAGAGTGCAGAACTTTTGGGAGCAAATCAAAGATTTCAAGACTCACCCCGCTATGCTGAAGAGAACATTGCTGGGCTGTATTTGTTGGTTCATGTGCGGAGCACTATTTTACGGGTTTTCCTTTGGGTGGAGCAAAATTGGCTCCAATATTTACACGGCGTACTGTTTTGCGGCTATTGGGAACACCATCGCGTTTGCTGTACTGACACCAACGTGCAATCTGATTGGTAGAAGGAAATCAGGCCTTGTTTTCTTCGGGATCGTAGTTCTCGCAAATCTGTTGGCGATGCCAGATGTCAATGTTTCTGCTAAATGGACCCTGAACTACGTTGCCAGTCTGATCGGCAGTATTTCAGTCCTCGCTGCCTTTATCTTGATGTATCTCTTCACCAGCGAGCTAGCCCCCACCTCACATCGCGGCATGATAATGTCCCTCAGCTCCAGTTGTGCCCGGTTAGGTAGTTTCGCTGGGCCTTATATTAGTTTACTTTACAAGGTAACGGATAGGAGAGTGACTGCTGGGGTATTTGGTGGAATGGCCCTTATCGGCGTGGCTGTGGTCTTCTTCCTGCCGGACACTACTGGGGTGAGGATACCGGAGGTGCCGGGTGATCTGACATCTGGGACGGAGTACCAGAAGGTCGAGAACGGGACACAAGTTCCAAACCATGACGAGGAAGCTTGAGAGAGCTGAACAGATCGCTAGTGATATAACACGTGATATAACGCGTGATGTAACAAGTGATATAATAGACTTCTTGTCGATAATAGATTTGAATCGTGATATTTTATTAAATTTTCCACTTTCGTTGACTTTTACACTGAACGGGACCTATTACTCCATATAATACTCGTTACTTTTTTAAATTTTGATCTGAACAATTGTAAAAATACAATGTTGATATCAATTATACGTGTGATAAACGCAGTTTTTATAAACACTATATTAAACTACAAAAGTTAAAGACATTTAACATTAAGTCAAAAATCATGCCGGCCGTTTTTTGTGTCGACCAACAATTTGAAATTGAGATAAATGACCGATTATAATATTATGTGATAACAACATTATTACACATAATACTTTTACAATACCATTAAGACTTAAGACGGTGTTTTATCATATATAATATAACTTATATGATCAAAAAATGCTGACTAGCTCAATGCCCAAGCGGCACTTAGTCTGAGAACCCCATCACCAATCTGAAAACTGAGAGTCTCATCACTAGCACTTTGGACCACACTAGCTCCTAGTCGTGAAAACTGAGAGCCTCATCACTAGCACTCTGGACCACACTAGCTCCTAGTCGTGAAAACTGAGAGCCTCATCACTAGCACTTTGGACCACACTAGCTCCTAGTCGTGAAAACTGAGAGCCTCATCACTAGCACTTTGGTCTACACTAGCTCCAAGTCGTGAAAACTGAGAGACTAATCACTAGCACCTTGGACCACACTAGCTCCTAGTCGTGAAAACTGAGAGCCTCATCACTAGCACTTTGGACCATACTAGCTCCTAGTCGTGAAAACTGAGAGCCTCATCACCAGCACTTTGGACCACACTAGCTCCAAGTCGTGAAAACTGAGAGCCTCATCACCAGCACTTTGGACCACACTAGCTCCAAGTCGTGAAAACTGAGAGACTAATCACTAGCACTTTGGACCACACTAGCTCCTAGTCGTGAAAACTAAGAGCCTCATCACTAGCACTTTGGACCACACTAGCCCAATCTACACTGATGTTCACTCTTCTGATCCATTCTGTAATCCGCTCAAACAACTCGTCTGAGACGTAGGGGTGTCCGTAAGAGCTGGAGTGGTAGGTGAAAGGGGCGTGTCTGTAACTCGTATCTATCTTGTATATCTGTGAAGGGTGAGATGTCAATACTTAATACAAAATTATAATAAGATGACTGAAAGTTGGAAGAGGAATCAAGGTTGATCTGTGAGTAACGTTCATCAAGAACATGTTTCCACCCTGATTTTAACAATGTCCCCAGGTCCTCTTACCCTCTCTTGCAGTGAAGCTAGTCCGTATGCAGTGAGTCTAGTCGGCAGTGCCTCACTGTCCAGTCTGACAGAGCGGCGCGAGTGAAGGGGAGTTTGGAGGTCTCCTGCAGTTGCAGCTGGTATGTGCGGTAACGAGTGGGTCACCTGAAACTACACTCATTCAGAAACTGCCCGTGGGATATGTCTTTAGGAGGAAGACTTGAGTTTGTACGACAGGCTATAAGACACAAACTACTTGAGGTAAAATGTAATAAACTTCATAATTTAACTTTATGGATAGTAACTACTACACTACTACACTACTACACTACTACACTACTACACTACTACACTACTACACTACTACACTACTACACTACTACACTACTACACTACTACACTACTACACTACTACACTACTACACTAATACACTACTACACTACTACACTACTACACTACTACACTACTACACTACTACACTACTACACTACTACACTACTACACTACTACACTACTACACTACTACACTACTACACTACTACACTACTACACTACTACACTACTACACTACTACACTACTACACTACTACACTACTACACTACTACACTACTACACTACTACACTACTACACTACTACACTACTACACTACTACACTACTACACTACTACACTACTACACTACTACACTACTACACTACTACACTACTACACTACTACACTACTACACTACTACACTACTACACTACTACACTACTACACTACTACACTACTACACTACTACACTACTACACTACTACACTACTACACTACTACACTACTACACTACTACACTACTACACTACTACACTACTACACTACTACACTACTACACTACTACACTACTACACTACTACACTACTACACTACTACACTACTACACTACTACACTACTACACTACTACACTACTACACTACTACACTACTACACTACTACACTACTACACTACTACACTACTACACTACTACACTACTACACTACTACACTACTACACTACTACACTACTACACTACTACACTACTACACTACTACACTACTACACTACTACACTACTACACTACTACACTACTACACTACTACACTACTACACTACTACACTACTACACTACTACACTACTACACTACTACACTACTACACTACTACACTACTACACTACTACACTACTACACTACTACACTACTACACTACTACACTACTACACTACTACACTACTACACTACTACACTACTACTATCAACTCGACATAAGACACGAAGTTAAGGTTACCTTGTACTGCTTTTGCTTGAATTTAACTGAGTTAAAGGATGGCTTCTTAGTTGAGATTCCGGTCTTGCCATTGTAATCGGTCGTATTTTTCCCCTGAAAATTAAAGTGAAATTGAAGGCAATGGAAAACTCGAACCCATATGGCAGCCTTTTAGTTTTATATAACTTTCTCTAAGTCTCAGTTTAAGCTTATGTTCTGCAATAACATTGTGAACCACACAATTGCATTTGCTTACGAAATTATGCAACATATAAATGAAATATGATGTTAGTATTAAATTATGGTAAACAATAGGTCTGTGATTTAATAGAGTGTCTACTTTCTGGATTGTAAGATTTGAATAAAATCATTGAATACTTTAGAAAAGTGCGTTATGCTTGATAAATCAAGCAATCTAATGAGTGAACCATCTGTCAGTGTCAACAAAGTAGAGGTTTGGACGGAAAACAGCGGGAAGAAAAAAATGTTAAACATCTTAAAAGATGAATGGTTTTTGACAGCGGTATGTTTAGTAATTAGTTATAAGATGAATTTGAATAAGCTATGATTTGAGCAGTGTGTTTGGTAGTAAGATGAGCGAGGTACCTGTGAAGCTAGGATTTGAGCAGCGTGTTTGGTAGTAAGATGAGCGAGGTACCTGTGAAGCTAGGATTTGAGCAGTGTGTTTGGTAGTAAGATGAGCGAGATACCTGTGAAGCTAGGATTTGAGCAGTTTGTTAGGTAGTAAGATGAGCAAGGTACCTGTGAAGCTAGGATTAGAGCAGTGTGTTTGGTAGTAAGATGAGCGAGGTACCTATGAAGCTAGGATTTGAGCAGCGTGTTTGGTAGTAAGATGAGCAAGGTACCTGTGAAGCTAGGATTTGAGCAGCGTGTTTGGTAGTAAGATGAGCAAGGTACCTGTGAAGCTAGGATTTGAGCAGTGTGTTTGGTGGTAAGATGAGCGAGGTACCTGTGAAGCTAGGATTTGAGCAATGTGTTTGGTAGTAAGATTAGCGAGGTACCTGTGAAGCTAGGATTTGAGCAGTGTGTTTGGTAGTAAGATGAGCAAGGTACCAGTGAAGCTAGGATTTGAGCAGTGTGTTTGGTGGTAAGATGAGCGAGATACCTGTGAAGCTAGAATTTGAGCAGTATGTTTGGTAGTAAGATGAGCAAGGTACCTGTGAAGCTAGGATTTGAGCAGTGTGTTTGGTAGTAAGATGAGCGATGTACCTGTGAAGCTAGGATTTGAGCAGTGTGTTTGGTGGTAAGATGAGCGAGGTACCTGTGAAGCTAGGATTTGAGCAATGTGTTTGGTAGTAAGATGAGCGAGGTACCTGTGAAGCTAGGATTTGAGCAGTTTGTTTGGTAGTAAGATGAGCAAGGTACCAGTGAAGCTAGAATTTGAGCAGTGTGTTTGGTAGTAAGATGAGCAAGGTACCAGTGAAGCTAGAATTTGAGCAGTGTGTTTGGTAGTAAGATGAGCGAGATACCTGTGAAGCTAGAATTTGAGCAGTATGTTTGGTAGTAAGATGAGCAAGGTACCTGTGAAGCTAGGATTTGAGCAGTGTGTTTGGTAGTAAGATGAGCGATGTACCTGTGAAGCTAGGATTTGAGCAGTGTGTTTGGTGGTAAGATGAGCGAGGTACCTGTGAAGCTAGGATTTGAGCAATGTGTTTGGTAGTAAGATGAGCGAGGTACCTGTGAAGCTAGGATTTGAGCAGTTTGTTTGGTAGTAAGATGAGCGAGATACCTGTGAAGCTAGGATTTGAGCAGTGTGTTAGGTAGTAAGATGAGCAAGGTACCTGTGAAGCTAGGATTTGAGCAGTGTGTTTGGTAGTAAGATGAGCAAGGTACCTGTGAAGCTAGGATTTGAGCAGTGTGTTTGGTGGTAAGATGAGCGAGGTACCTGTGAAGCTAGGATTTGAGCAGTGTGTTTGGTAGTAAGATGAGCAAGGTACCTGTGAAGCTAGGATTTGAGCAGTGTGTTTGGTAGTAAGATGAGCGAGGTACCTGTGAAGCTAGGATTTGAGCAGTGTGTTTGGTGGTAAGATGAGCGAGGTACCTGTGAAGCTAGGATTTGAGCAGTGTGTTTGGTAGTAAGATGAGCGAGGTACCTGTGAAGCTAGGATTTGAGCAGTATGTTTGGTGGTAAGATGAGCGAGGTACCTGTAAAGCTAGGATTTGAGCAGTGTGTTTGGTAGTAAGATGAGCAAGGTACCTGTGAAGCTAGGATTTGAGCAGTGTGTTTGGTAGTAAGATGAGCGAGGTACCTGTGAAGCTAGGATTTGAGCGGTGTGTTTGGTGGTAAGATGAGCAAGATATTTCTTCAGCTCAATTGTTCTCAGTTGAACGGATCGTTCCTGATCTGTTCTGATCTGGGAACTGATCTTCTTCAGAGTGAACTTCTTCTTTATTCCCACTTTGGACAGGTCAAACCTCTCTCCTCCCTTTTTACCTGCCTGATAAATGTTATCAAATGTTAACTATTACGTTACACTATAAGTATAAGTGTAACCATGATAACTGTGGAAGCTATTAAAGCTATTACAGTATTACATTTACTATGGGCATATTTCAGATTGCTGGTGTTGACAACGATCATTATACATAATGTTGTATAATACATTCCTCTAACAATCAAATTCGTCTTAAATAAAACAGCAGTTAGCAAAGTCACCTTTTTAGTAACCTTTTGATTTGGGACTACATCTCGTTGTTTTTGTTCTGTGTTTGTTTTGGGAGACGGATCACGTGTGCTAGTCACGTGATCACGTGTGCTAGTCACGTGATCTAGCGCTACAGTTAAGCTCTGATATTTCTCCTTCATCGGTCTGTTAATAGTTTATGCTCCGTTCCGTTCAGATACACATTTTAAGATGAGAGCTTGCATGCCTTTTGATTTGCCCTTGTGCCTTGTGCCTCGGCTGCCGGCCAGAAAATATGTTAAAATGTTTGAAATAATAATATTCAAAATCGAATTCAAGGCAGATCCGCAGATTAAAAATCGAACCAATAAATATCTTCTTAAACTCTCAATGAAAATACAAAACAAGCAGTCACAAAATTAGCACTGAGATAATCCGAACGTTCCCGTATCAAAGCAACTAAAACGAAAAAAGCACTCAAATGCTATTGAAAACTGTCGGTGGCCGCACATTCTTACAAATCAGAAGCTCTAGAAGTTCAGAAGTAGCCCGGAGCTAGAATACAATGTCCGTTAACTGCTAGCAAGCACACTGCCACTGCTTTTAAAGGTGTCCTCAATCTAACCACTACACTCCACTGATTAGCGGGCAGTTTTTGAATATAACGTTTTCGATAAGTAGCAGCTCTGTCACGTGACCCAGGGATTGGTTGCGGTTCTAGTCTGAGTAGACGTACAAGCTAGCGGTCTTGTAGTTGTAGTGTGTGGGGAGAAGCTAGCGGGCTTTGCTGTGGCGGGTCTTTGTGCGGTGTGTGTGTGCGGACTGTTTTGATTGAAAACTTATCTGAGTCGGAAATAAAAATTAACAAATAGTGATAAAATATTTGCAATAATATTAATACTAATAGGAAATTAGAGAAATACCAAAATTTAAAACCAAAACTTTACTTCTAGTTCTAGTTCTAGTTAGTGCTGAGTTATACATTTCATCTCGACAAGTCTATTTTCTTATAAATGTTTTTAACTTTAAGTTTAACTGATTTAATTTTAAACGTTAGACTTCCGGACTTTCGCTTCACCACAGCTCCGATCTTAGATTGGGCGGACACATGGAGGTTGACGCCGCTTCGTGATTTAAAAATAAAGGTAAATAATAATATTATTACAAAAATCAAAACGTGTTCTAGATGTGGATACTGGCGGGGAGGTGATAATTGTTTGTTTACCATTTACAATTTAGGTCGAGTACATGTTCAGCAGGCTGAGGAGGTGATAATTGTTTGTTTACATTTTCGGGTGAGTACATGTTCAGCAGGCTGAAGAGACGCTTGTAACGTCTTCTTGTTACCCCCCTTTGAGGGCCCCGAATTATTTTCTGAACGAAAGCTCAAAAATAACCGAGAAATCGACCTTCTTATTAACTTATTTTGAGGACCGTTTATAGCCTAAAATTGCACGAAAAATCGATTTAGCTAGGTTTCAGAACCTATAAACACTTCCTTATCCCTCAAAATTGATGTTCCATAGTTTAGAATGCGAGCAACAAGCAACATATATTTTGATCCTTCGGTTCTACAGCTCTTGACCTAGGGCTGAAACCGAAAGATCGAGGCAATCCTCACCTTAACTGATCGAACTTGAGCGAAGAGCAGAGTACGACAAAACACAGCAGGTAAGTAACTCATTTTGGTGACTGTTCCAGGTGTTCCTCAACAGTGTTACAATTGATACAACTGGGCAGTTCGGCAAATTTAAAAAGGAGTCGGCAATCGGCATCTACACTTTCCTTATTCAGCAAATGTATTCGAATAAAGTTTGAGACAAACAATATTATATTATAATGTTATTTATATTTACAGCTACTTTCATGTCTGTTTTTTGCACTACTTACATTAAATTTCATACCACAGTGAGTACAGGAGTAGGGTTTTGCTCCTGTGTGAACTCTCATATGCACTGTGAGATTACTGTTTCTAGTAAACTGCTTACCACACACACCACACTTGTGTGCTCTCTCTCCGGTGTGTATCACAGTATGTCTTTTTAGGTTGTCTGCTCGCAGAAACCGTCTCCCACAATACCTACACTTGAACTTGAACTCATCATCGCCGTGTGTCAGCTTGTGTTTCTTAAGACCATCAGGTTTTTTGAAAGACATAGGACACACATCACATCTGTATTGTTGTAGTGCATGCTCTAAACTGATATGATCATATAGTTCCTGTTCAGAGGATTTCTTAACACCACACTCATGATACTGACAATTGTGTGTCTTGTTTGTGTGGTTACGGTAGATGTGAGTAGTGAGGGTATTTTTCTGAACAGTGGTATAGTCACAATGTGTACACCTGTACTGCTTATCCCCCGTGTGTGTTAAAATATGTTGGGTGAGGTGGTGCTGATGATCAGTCCTATATTGACAGTAAGGACAGGTGAGTCTCGCTACTTTATCGTGTACTGTTCTAATGTGTTTTGTTAGACTATTCCTCCAACCAAACATGTTCCCGCACGTGTCACACTTGTGTACTTTCTCTTTCCCCTTTCTTGATACTTCTCGAGTCGTCCCACATTTGTGTGTCTCCAGCTCTAGCTGCGTCTTAAACAGCTTCAGACAACCGGTTGCAGTGCAATGATGTTGTTGACCTGTACTTAATTAAAGTTAGGAACTATCTAATGAAATTGCACAGCCTCGTGCATGAAGGTATAAATTTGTGTTAACTGACCATTTACGACTCCTTTTTCCTTAAATGTTACTAGAGATTGTTCTCACCATGTTCTAGATCGTGGTGTACACCGCTACAAGAAGGTAAGTTGTCATCAGATTCAGGTTTTCTGACACAGTCTTTGGTTTGTGGTATGTTACTTTTGTTAGTACTTCCTCTGGTGTTGTCACCATCATCATCTAGAACGATAATCCTATCCCTGTCTTTGAGAACCGTCTTCACCTTTTTGTTATACCTGCGAGATGAAGAATTGGTATGTTAGCAATCTTAAAAGTACAGTTAGCACCACGCGATCAACTACAATTGCGAAACATATGCTGCAAACTATCGGTTAAGTGAAGCCATTACAGTATGTTTAAAGAAAACTTTTAATACGAACTAGGATAACACAGTATCAAAACTCACTCGTCATGCGTCATGTTATGATAGTTATCATACAACTCAAGTGCTCGATCAAGACAAGTATCTGTTTGATCCTTGTTTATTCTACCAAACTTAAACCGTTCCTCATCATCGTCAGTTACAACATTACTCTTGTCTGATATAAGTTCATTGTAGAGATCAGGGGGCAGCTCAATTCTCTCGATCTCCTCATCTGAGGACTCTCCGTTCTCCCTGAAAAGTAGCTTACCCATTGAACATATCATAACAGATTGCTAAGTTTAAAATTTAAATAGAATTTGGACTCTGACAAATATTTATGCAAATAAGGAACACAAGTTAAAGCTCCAAAACGCGATTGTGGTCAAGTTTTAAGTTATCCAGTAAGATTATATAAGTAGACAGTGTTACTAACATGTCCTCCACGAATTTCTCCCAGCCACCAGGATAAGTCTCACAAGTAATTTTATAGTACTCCTCATCCGGCATAAGAGAGTCTATGTTAGCCTCACATATTTCATGTGTAAACTCAGGGTTTTCTGCGATCAATTTACACATATCTACAGGACCTTCTCCGAGATGAGAAGTTAAATTCTTGTTGACAAATAGATCTTTCAATGCTGGTACAGACTCAGGTTCTGAGTGTAGGAAAATCTCTAGATCCTCTACTTCAGGAGCATCAGCTTCTTCGTTAACAGAGTACTGGTTAACTTTTCGTTCGTCTGTACATTCTGCAAAATCCGATTCACCATTTACATTCTTGTTCCTCGTTTCAGGAGCACTGTCCGTATCACTGTCAGAGGGGTATCTGGGATCAGCCTTAACAAATTCCTCCAGTTTTATCGATCCATCTTCATACCGATTCAGCAACATCTCATCTGAATTGTGAGCTTATGGTTAAGATACCAGAATAAGATTTTTAAAACCTTGATTTGATGGACACACTTGCACACTTTACCACTCACCGACTTCCAGAGAATATTCTTATTGGCTGCGTCAGACAGTACACTGCTACACATAAACACAAACACATAAACACAAACACATTTATTGGGATTATTAGTATAGTTTAGAGGAGGAGGACTGAGGAGGAAGAGGAGGAGGAGGACTGAGGAGGAAGGGAAGGAGGAGGGGGAGGAGGAGGATGAGGGGGACTGAGGAGGAGGGGAAGGAGGAGAGGGAGGGGGAGAAGGAGCAGGAGGTGGAGGAGGAGGAGGAAAAAACGACACGAATGTGTACGGTACTAGCTAAAATATCTGCCAGTTTCATTCAGTACAAGTAGATTTTAAATAGAAATTTTAATGGCGTACAGCAAAGCTCTAACCCATGAACCGAAATAAAATGTAGCTGGTTAACGAACTAAAGAGGGGTCCATTGAACTCAAACCATAGCAACAGCGCACCCATTACCCGTTATACTTCCGTGTTATCTCATCTAAAATAAACACCCCACACACAAAATAAATGCAATTGCCTTTGAGGGCAAGTGCAACATTTAAAGTTACACAAACTCTTATTACAATTCTAAGACTGATTCCAAGTTTACATATTATTTAAAACGCCAATAACTAATTGCACCACACAAATTGATATTCTGAGTTATTTGTCTAACCTGTTGAAAATGAACTGCACCATGTTGAACTGGTACTTCAATTATGTGTAAAACCATACTCGTGCTTGTGTACACCGCAATTGCCTGCTCCTGTAACATACATTTCTTGTCAGAGAATTCGTGTCCTAGTTTTTGTTGTCAAACACTTACCGTCCAAGTTAAGCTAGGGGGCACTCATGGGTATATTCCTTTGGTTCCAGTTGGGGTAAACTTAAAGCAAAGTTCATCATTTGGAATTCCACTGAGTTGATAATCGCCACCACATAGTACAGCAAACTGAATATTACTAATCTCCGCAGTTCAACCGAGACATACTATAACTAAAAAATTATGTTAATATTCTGTTCCTGACTGGACGATAAGCACCACAGTCAGTTGGGGGACAGACCAACACACTATCAAGATTGTTTGACTATCGTAAACAACCCCAACAGTTTGCATTGTACATGGGCAGTGGGCACGGTTACATTATAACGATCACGGATCACACAATTTCTAGTTCTGCATGATGTAATTATGGCGTGTGTACCTCGGTGCAGATAGGAGCACCTTGAAATTGCCAAGCTGTGGTAGAGATAACAATGTCAACACAGTGTAAAATACAGATAAGGAAAGTAAACATACGATAATATACCTCTGCTCACAGTCACACTTCCTGTTCGTGATTGGACGGATCAGCGTCACGCGACAGAACACTTCTATTACAATTGGTCGGGAACACGGAGTGCAAGGCCATGCCCATTGCCCGTACGTTCAAAATAAATATAAATATAATTGAGTTGATAGTACGATTGTTCTATCATGGTGTTGGTTACCTACCTTTGTTGTGTTTCTTTTGACTTAGCTATCGTGCTCTGCTCTGAAAATTGTGATAGAACCTGTTCGAGTTGTTAACGAGACAATCTCCTTGTCAGTGGCGTAGCCGTAACGTTGCCTGTTGGCGCCCCCCCCCCCCCCCCCCGCCGAAAAAGCACCCCCCTCCCCTATTGGTGCCCCTCCCTAAAATTGAACAAATTAGGTGATTTTAGAGGATACGCCGGTAAAATTTCTAAAAAAGTGAGTGTCTAGAGCAAAACGCGCAGTTTTGCTAGTAGTAGTACTTAAGTTAAGTTTTCGAAATTGTCCCACATTCAGCAACGATTTGGCGCCCCCCTTAGAAGGCGCCCCCCCTCCCCCCCCCCCCCGCTATGCGGGGTCAGTGGGGCCCTTCGTTACGCCACTGCTCCTTGTTCTTTCGTTGCAGAATCAACATGTTCTTTGTTTGAGACACACAACAATTTTGAGGAATAAGGAAGCGTTATTGGGCTGTAAAACCATCTCAAATCGATTTCTTGTGCAACGTTGTACAACTACAGGTGAGGAATAGTCACCAAAATGAGTTGCTTACCTGCTGTGTTTTGTCGTACTCTGCTCTTTGCTCAAGTTCGATCAGTTAAGGTAAGGATTGCCTTGATCTTTCGGTTTCAGTCCTAGGTCAAGAGCTGTATAACCGAAGGATCAAAATATATGTTGCTTGTTGCTCGCATTCTAAACTATAAAACATCAATTTTGAGGGATAAGGAAGTGTTTATAGGTTCTGAATCCTAGCTGAATCGATTTTTCGTGCAATTTTAGGCTAGAAACGGTCCTCAAAATAAGTTAATAAGAAGGTCGATTTCTCGGTTATTTTTGAGCTTTCGTTCAGAAAATAATTCGGGGCCCTCAAAGGGGGGTAACAAGAAGGCGTTACAAGCGTCTCTTCAGCCTGCTGAACATGTACTCGACCGAAAATGTAAACAAACAATTATCACCTCCTCAGCCTGCTGAACATGTACTCGACCTAAAATGTAAACAAACAATTATCACCTCCCCGCCAGTATCCACATCTATATAACTATAAGATCAACTTCCTCACTGCGACAATAAGAGAGCTTAATGGACACTCTGTTCTACATGAGTATAATCCAGAGATTTCTGTATTATAATACTCAGCTATGAATATTATGATGATGGGACAAAATTTGCAGTGTTCCCGTTCATTGCGACAAGGTTCTCTTTTCCTTATCCTGATAAGGGCCCGATCCGGATATTACATACTCTATGCTACAGACCTCTGCTATCAAATGAAAATCCTGCTCGATTATTAACATTGCAGTCCTGCTGTTAAAGTGTAACTACTAGTTCTATTGTAAAACAAGCACATCTGCTCATGTTATCTGCTTGTTTAAAGCAATCCTGGCTGTAATTCTATCAGATAAATTAGTCATGGTTTAACAAATTGTACACAGAATGTATATGGGAAAATATCATTAAATTATCTTTATTTTTACAAGTTCAACTTAAAGACAATCTTTTGGTAATCAATCAGTCAACAAAAAGATTCACCACAAGATTGAAAATCCAAAATGCTCCATATAAGGGGACGCACGCTCAACAATTAATTCATGAGTTCATGTTGCTAGTATGCCAATAAAAATAATAACATGATCGCTATTCCGCTAATTAACGTGTAAAAAGTGAAGATTGAACGAAAATTAACGTACATGGTACAAGTCGTACATGTGCGCTGATTGAAGGGGGGTAACTATAAGAAACTAAAATCAGCAATTCTAACCATTCCCACTAACAAAATATAATTCCACAAAAATATGAGACACTTTGGGGAGAAAGGAGGCAGTAATTAAGAATTAGCGGTGATTAGTTACTAACTAGACTAGCTACTACAACTTTAAGTCAGTGTGCTAAGTTAGTTAACAGACCTAATTGCATCTAGTAGTCTGCAGTATTACATCTATCGCATTTCATTTTTCATATTAAAACCAGCGATAAAAAGCTGAAATCTCCGCCATCTTGTCACGTGGCTGATCACGTGACACATTACGTCACGTGACACATTACGTCACGTGACACATTACGTCACGATGTGCGTTACAAAGCTCCTCACTATTAAATACCTGGACTAAAACCAAAGATTCACACTTAACATCCAATTTATTCACACAGGATGCTTGTTATTTCTTAGAATCCCCGCCCCTTATTATTTTATTATAGATAACTCTGACGGTGTTACATACGGTGGTTTCTGTAACCGTAAGTAATGGTGGGGAGAATATCGTAACCAGAAGAACTCTTTAAATAAGCACGTGCTGTAAACTGTCTACAGATCTGGTCATTTCGCTCCACCTTTTTGAGCACGGTATCCCTTACTGGATTTCTTGAGAAAATGTATATCCCCGCGTCTATAAACGCAAACATGGTGAGCACTAAAAATTAGAAATTTAATCCTCAAATCAGTCTTTCATTGCACACAAAATTAAATAGAAAACAGCTAATAAACTTGATGAGCTCTGAGTCTTGGTGTCATCACGTAAGATGCTGGTCAGATGGAGAAAGTTCGTGGTTATCATGATCAGTAACCATTGGTTACTACGGTGAGTAACCATTGGTTACTATGGCTACACGTTGTTATGGCCACTAATATAGTCTGATGGTGTGTGTTATCTTGACTCTGCACATGGGGCAATCTCTCAGTTGAGGAGCGCACTTGTCGCACACTCTGTGTCCACACATGAAGGCCACATTCTTTGGATTCTCCAGGCAGATACCACAGTTCTGTTCCTCCCCGGCTGATACGTTCAGCTCCCCTCCTGGAGGCTCTGACTCTGATGTACTGGTTTTACCTGGGGTTAAGGAGGGTTACCATGGTTACTTTACCTTATATGGTTATCTTATTGCACAAGAGAGTGGTACGATACTTAAACCATGTTGGTACACAGTGAGCAAAATGTAGTACTGTTAGTGTTTAGCAGATGATAAACATAGATAAATGCTTAGCTTAAGGAATAGTAATCGAATAAATCTTCAGAATGGATTTCATTAAAAGCTAACAGATATTGCTGTGAGGAGGTTCGACATTCCCTCATGAACAATGCTTTTTAAAATCACATGCAAAGAAACACACTGGTGACACGTGTTATATGAAGTGTATACACGTGTTGTTATATGAGGTTGTAGCAGGATGCTTACACGTAGTATTATAGACACTGGTAACTGTATTGAAGTTATATCAAAGAGAATGTGTTTAGGATAGTAACTATAGTAACTTTAGTAACTTGGATAGTCACTATAGTAACGGCACTGTAGTTACTTTACTGTTAGATATTATAGTTTTTGTATCTAGATGAAATCTCGTTAAAGTTTTAGTAACTAGATAATATCTAGTTATAGTAACCATAGTAACTGGATAATATCGAGTTTTTGTAACTATAGTACACTCCGTTTATTTTATAAAGATGCCCTTCATAATATAAAGACGAAGCCTTCAAATGAAATAAAATAAAAGTCGGCAACGCTTCAAAATCGAAAAATTTAAGACGCCACAACAGGTCTCAAAATAGATCGGATGTAATAAAGCAGATTTCATGTTCTCATTATGACAATTGTTGGTAAAATTGATTAGAGTTGTCTTAACTGACTTTCTTACACTTATTATGCTCATTTATATTGATTACTGAAGTTTGTAATGTAAGCGTAGGATTCTTGCACTTTGAAAATTAAAGACGGGGTTGCGATGAATTAAAAGATGGTGAAGCCTTTAAAATGGTCAAAATTAAAGACGCTGAAGCCTTCGACGTAATTAACCATCTTTATAAAAAAACGGAGTGTAACTAGATAATATCTAGTTATAGTAACCATAGTAACTAGATAATATCTAGTTATAGTAACCATAGTGACTAGAAAATATCTGGTTATAGTAACTAGATAATATCTAGTTATAGTAACCATAGTTAACTAGATAATATCTAGTTATAGTAACTAGATAATATCTGGATACGCACACTCACACGAAACTCACCCATCCTGCCACGTCTCACTCCTTACAAAAGTCAAAGTTAGAACACTGCGTTGTAACGCACAGTGTATATACATACATCACGTAACTTATGGCTTCTCATTACTGATCATAACTTCAATACAGTTCAAATCAGCACCAATTCGATGGACGCCAGCCCTAGATAAGGTAGTGGTGGTCTGTACACTTACATTTCTTGAGACCTGTCTTTTTCGATATTACAGCCTTGCATGCGATGCATTTTTTCGTTCTCCTAGCACATGCTGAGGAATGTTAATGTTACTGTAAGGTATAATGTAAACTGGTGAAGGTAGCAATTAGTTATTTCTACAGCTGCGCGCTTAGGAAAGAGCGTGGTTATACTGGCTACTTACGTTATGGTCACTTTTCATAAAGAGAATGGTGCAAATGTTGGAATTATATGCTTTTCTGTGCGCCGCGCGGAGATATTAGCAGACAGAATAAGGTTCCTTGTGATGCAAGCATTGCAGCAAGATATTCACGGAATTAAATGAACCTAATTTAAGATGCAGAGCAAAGAAAACAATACCTGAGCACGAGACTTTGTGGCCGCATGGTTGGAATACCACTTCTGCTGTATCATTAGAGCATATCATACATACCTGAATTAACAAAGATTACACTTTACTGTGTAAATTTACAGTTTGCACTGATATCTTATGTGACGCAATATCAATAGTGTCCTATTTCCAGACATATTTGTAACACTGGATTTAAAAATTCGATTATAGATCATAGGAATGGAGACCCAACATACCTGCGGGTCGTTATCAATGATTTTCCTGCTCTCAACGATTTGTTTACATTCCAGACATTTCTTGATCCGCTCGCCACACTTCGCGCACATAATGACATGTCCACAAGGCCCAAACTCCAAGTTAGCTTTAGCTTCTTCACACAGTGTACAAAGAGTGTCGGGAGTGGGCACTCCTGCGGCTTGTTCGCATTCCTCCATCCTGCAAACAGAGAGGGCCAAGGGTTACCATGACATCATCGCTATGTTATCTCTCATTTCGTTGGTATTTTGTTATAAACACACATCACTCTGATATGATTAAAATATTACAAAATTGTGAAAGTAAGAACAAATCTGAAGAATATCACACCTTTCTCGGAACTTTCGAGAATAGTCCTGGAGGATCGTTCTGAGTTTGGGGTCTGCACAGAGATCTAGGGGTGTTTTGTTCTTGTTGTTGGCGATGATGAGGGAAGCTCCCGCCTGCGCGAGGAAACAAGCTATAGCCTCCCCAGTGTTACCGTCACTACTTTCCATTCCCAGATGAGTGCGAATCTGAGATGTTGTTTGATGATTACATTATTGGTTAGATTAATCAATTAGTTAAGCTTTTTAAATCGTTTATTATAAAAATAATTTAGTTTTATTATGTTACTTATGTATGATTGTGAATATAAGTTAAACATCATCACTATTCTCCACTATAGATATAAAGCAGATCCTAAACAAAGCGATGTAATCATGTGTAATCCTATCATGTTAAACGAGATAACAGATTGGGCAGCACTTGAAAAATAAGACAATTTAATTAATCAACTATTTTCTTAACTAAGACTCTTGTAACTAATTAGCACTGTAAGAACTAATTAGAACTAACTAATTATCACTGTAAGAACTAATTAGAACTAACTAATTAGCACTGTAAGAAGAGTGTAGTTACCCGTGTCATGGTGTCTGAAGCGCTACTGTCAGTGCTAACACTCTGTCGCACCAGTGCGAGATGTAGCGCTGTGTCGCCCTCCTCGTCCCGCGCGTCCACCTGAACAGTGTGTTATTACCGTGTGTCACACTGTTACACTGTGTTACTCAGTTACTGTCACACTGTTACACTGTTATTACTGTGTTACACTGTTATTACTGTGTTACACTGTTATTACTGTGTTACACTGTGTTACTGTGTTACACTGTGTTACTGTGTTACACTGTTATTATTGTGTTACTCAGTGACTGTTACATTGTGTTACACTGTGTTACTCAGTTACTCAGTTACTGTTACACTGTTACACTGTTACACAGTAATAACTGTGTTACACTGTTAGTGTCCGTGCATGTGTGTTTTATATACATTTGAAGCATTAAGCACGTGTACACAGTACATATCATTAATGTATGAGATTAATACAATAATACGACTTAACAATATAATAGTACGTTATGTAATATATATTATATAATGTTCTCAATACATCTCAGTGATGTATTTTCACGACATCTTGACCAGCCAGCTGTTAACACACTGGTTACAGTTCTAGGAATCACGTACGCAGCTACATATAGACCAGAAGTGACGAAAATAAATATATATCCAGTAGGCAATAGTAGCTGAGTACTTACACAATCAGAGCATAGTATTATCGAAACTTGACACAAACTAACTAATCAGAGCACAGTATTCTCGAAACGTACCTCACAGCTGAACTCGACCAGCAGCTCCACAATAGCGGTGTGTCCCTGGCTGACAGCCAATATAAGCGGAGTTTGGAGTCTGCCATTTCTGATGTTTATATCACAGCTACCCTGAAAAAAGAGAGGCATAAGTGTGAGACTCAGTGTAAATACACGAGGAGTTCTATAATGGAGTATTATAACTGGTGATGACACACGTTTAATGTACAGTTCAGTGTGTACTGTGTACTGTGTACTGTGTATTTACTGTGTATTTACTGTGTACTGTGTATTTACTGTGTATTTACATTTAACTGTAGTCTGAGTTGCTGGATTGTCACAGGGCCGGCTTTTGCTTGTCGAAAGCAAAACACTCGGACAACATTACACAACATTACACTCTAACATTACACAAGGTTTGTTTGCAGAAACTAACTTACTGCTGAATGTACTTGGTGAGTATTACTCAGTAAGTACTTTCACACGCATTAAATCACGGTAGTGTCACTAAGTCACGGTAGTGTCACTAAGGCGTGTTTATATAAATATACTAGTGTTATATTTATATACAGTGTTTATATCATGGTGTTGCGTATTCCTAGTTAGTTGTACAGTATGCTGATGACATTCTCTCTAATTAGTACGTGACCGGCTCTCTAATAATAGCATATAATATATAATATAATATGTCTATGGATATATAATATATATATATAAGTATATATATATAAGTATATATATCATATAAGTATATATTATATTGTAATGTGGTATTCTCCTTATCATGAACTATAGTCATAGTGAGGATACCAATAGTATGAGTTCCACTGTGGAAACTCTTTACAAACTTGCTAGTTGCGTATTCTTCAGATTTAAGGTTATTTAAATTTTAAATATAGGTCAATTGTTAACTTTTAAAAATACATGAGTGTTACACAAATAGTATTCATCAGGGGTCGACCGGGATCGGAATTTTGTCCCGGCCGGGACCGGGATGAAACTGAAATCCCGGCCGGGACCGGGATCAGCTTAATCCCGACCGGGACCGGGACCGGGATTTTCACGATATTTCTATGTTGAAATGGAACATTTTAAGCAACCTTCAGCTTCGTATAAAGGGTCCATTGACCAATGTAATAAGTACTAACTACAAGTATATTTTCATTATTATATCTTCGGATGAAGATGAGCTTGAAATCTAATCAATCCTTCGAGTTCCGATTTTTATCTCGATTAGTTCGATTCTTAACAGTCGTTTCATTTGTCTAAGTCAAAGTAATAAAATATGAATTTGAAGCTAAATTGGATTAAAAAGATCGAAATTCTGTTTTTTAAATCCCGGCTAATATCCCGGCCAAAACGGTAATCCCGGCCGGGACCGGGACAAAAATGCCAAATCCCGGCCGGTATCCCGGTCGAGCTCTGGTATTGATATCGTAATATAATCCCTTAGCAAAGTGTAGAGTGTGTATTGTGTAGTGAAACTTTAGTTTTACATGACGTTAGTGTATTCTAAATAGGGCAAAAGCCAGAACTATAGATTGACGTTTCACAAAACTAAATGTACGACATTGACAGCTAAGGGCTTCGCTGCACAATGGCACTATATAAGTATATACACTAGTATTCTGAGTAGACATTTACAATATAATAGCATTGTACTAGCATGGGAAGTGTTTTGAGTTCACAATTTCTGATATTCTGTATATAATGCGACCAAGTCACCAAGGGAAACTACTCTTTTTCAGGTAAAGGAATCTGTTTAACGTTCCAATGTAACAACATATTCATGCTCTCAAATTATTTGTTATAATATAGACTTAGTGTTGGAAATATTAAAAGTATTTAAATGATGTAGTGACATTGAAACGTTGAACAGTTTCCTTTACCTGAAAAATAGCACTATCCCTTGGTTGCATGTACGGAATTATCAGAAATATAGAACTCTAAACATCACAACAATGTGACTCATAATAATGTTTCCTATCCGGATATTACAGCATGGTAAGTACTAGTATTCTCATAAAAGATGTTACCTCTTTGATCATGATCTCAGCGACACACTTGTGATTGTTGAGAGCTGCTAGGTGTAGAGCCGAGAAACCGTCCTCCTTCTTTATATCCACCAAACCTTCATGTTGTACGAGCAGCTGAACCGCCCTGAGATTAGTCAGTAATTAGTCAGTAATTAATCAGTAATTAATCAGTAATTAATCAGTAATTAGTCAGTAATTAGTCAGTAATTAGTCAGTAATTAGTCAGTAATTAGTCAGTAATTAGTCAGTAATTAGTCAGTAATTAGTCAGATATTAGTAAGTACTAAGTTAGCATCACCTCCCTACCACTAGCAGTGCAATTTTATATTTTTAATAATCATAGTTATTGGAGTGTGCTATCTGGAAACATGTCCTGTGTAGTGATTTTTTGGCTTTGCAGATAAAAAATTACTTTTTTAACCATAACTTTAAAAGGAAGCATTTTAGCGTGTTTTGTTGTTCATAACTCATATTATATAAATGTGCTAGTTGCGGTTATTTTGCACCCTTCTAAAAGTCTCTAGCACATTCCTATCGAAATTTTAGGAAAATCTGTAAATATGAAAAACGAAAAATGTGCCTAAATTTGTTGTTTGGCTTTGAGGTCCAAAAGATCAACTTTCCAGTTGAATAAACGCATTTTTGAGAGCATCCAAAAATGCGCCAGGATTCAGAGAACAATTTCATGTCAAGCATCAAAACAATCCGATGTTCCCTGACTGACTGTTTGGTCAAAATAAGCCTGAAAAGGACAATTTCAGCTTTTTGACTTTTGGGGGGGGGGTCCAACCCGATCAATTCCGATCATTCCGATCCCGATTTTGGCCTCATCAACCCTCATATCGGAAAAATCGGGAAAATTTAAATCTTCCCTCTAAGGTTTCTAGGCGATATAGGTAGCTATTTCTGTACTTAAATATGACAAGAAATCGATTGGTGGTGGTCCCAGAACCCCAAAACGGTATCTTGTTCCAAACAAGAATCGTTTCGTCCGAAAAACAACACAATGTCGTAGTTCGTACCAACTCTTGTTTGACAGAAACATCCACCCCGGTCCACAATTGAAAGAGGTACGGTTGGTAATAACAATCGTAACAAATAGCGAACGCTTTAGTAACTTTTGATATCAATTGTCTCCACAATTTGTAACAGGCTATCTGCAGAAATGGGTAGCACGGTTAATGACTATGGTCCTTTCTCAAACTTCCAATCCTCAGTTAGATACAAAGAATAGTCTACACAATTTTCAATAACATTAAAAGGGATGAAAATCACTTTATTTATCAAAATCTTTATTTATCATGTAACAACTTTTCCATAGTACTGGAGAGTAAAACTCTGTTAAACAAAAAAATTCTCGGGCACATTTTGAGTCAGTAACAGTAACATGTCAATATGTTACAGACTCAAATGCGTTTAAAAACATTTTAGTAACAATAAATTGTGTAAACTGATGAGGAGGAGGAGGAGGACTGAGGAGAAGGAGGACTGAGGAGGACAGAGGAGGAATACTGAAGAGGACCAGGACGAGCACTAGGAGGATGAGGACGAGGACTAGGAGGATGAGGACGAGGACTAAGGACGATGAGGACGAGGACTAAGGACGAGGAGGAGGACGACTGAGGAGGAGGACTGATTAGGAGGAGGACTGATTAGAAGGAGAAGGAAGAGAAGAAGGAGGAGGAGGATGAGGAAGAGAAATGAGGAGGAGGAGGAAAAGGAGGAAGACTGAGGAGAAAGAGGAGGACCGAGGAGGCCTGAGGAGGAGGAGGACTGAAGAGGAGAGGGAGGACTGAGGAAGAGGAGCAGGATTGGTGTGGAGGAAGACGAGAAGGAGGAGGACGAGAGCGAGGACGAGGAGGAAGACTGAGGAGGAGGACTGTTAAAAAGGAGAAGGACGAGGACTGAGGAGGAGGACTGAGGATGAGGAGAAGGAGGACTGGGGGAGGACTAAGGACGAGGAGGACTGAGGAGGAGGACTGAGGATGAGGAGGAGGAGAAGGAGGACTAGGGAGGACTGAGGAAGAGGAGGACTTAGGGAGGACTGAGGAGGAGGAGGACTGAGGAGGATGATGAGGAGGAGGACTGAGGATGAGGAGGAGGAGAAGGAGGACTGGGGGAGGACTGATGAGGAGGAGGACTGGGGGAGGACTGAGGAGCAGGAGGATGACTTAGGAGTAGGAGGAGAAGGAGGAGAAGGAGGAAAAGGATGAGAGGGAGGAGGAGGACTGAGGAGGAGGAGGAGGACTTAGGAGTAGGAGGAGAAGAAGGAGAAGGAGGACTGGCGAGGAGGAGGACTGACGAGGAGGAGAAGGACTGCGGAGGAGGAGGAGGACTGAGGAGAAGGAGGAGGAGGAGGACTGACGAGTAGGAGGAAGAGGAGGACTGAGGAGGAACAAGATGACGACTGAAGAGGATGAGGAGGATGAGAAGGAGGACTGGGGGAGGACTGAGGAAGAGGAGGACTTGGGGAGGAGGATGAGGACGATGAGACTGATGAGGACTGAGGAGGAAGACTGAGGAGGATGAGGACGAGGACTAAGGACGAGGACTAGGAGGATGAGGACAAGGGCTAATGAAGAGGAGGAGGACGACTGAGGAGGAGGACTGATTAGGAGGAGAAGGAAGAGGAGAAGGAGGAGGATGAGGAGGAGGACTGAGGAGGAGGAGGAGGATGAGGAGGATGAGGACTGAGGAGGAATACTGAAGAGGACGAGGACTAAGGACGAGGAGGAGGCGGAGGACGACTGAGGAGGAGGAATGATTAGGAGGAGAAGAAAGAGGAGAAGGAGGAGGAGGAGTAGGAGGAGGAGGACTAAGGACGAGGATGAGGACGAGGACGATTATGAGGAGGACAGAGGATGAGGACTGATGAGGAGGAGAAGGAGGATGAGGAGGAGAAAGAGGAGGAGGACTGGGGGAGGACTCAGGAGGAAGAGGATGATGACTGAGGAGGAGGATGAGGACTGAGGAGGAGGACTCAGGAGGTGGACTCAGGAGGTGGAGGAGGATGAGAAGGACTAAGGAGAACTGATGGGGAGGAGAAGGAGGATCAGGAGGAGAAATGAGGATGAGGAGGAGGAGAAGGAGAAGGAGAAGGAGAAGGAGAAGGAGGAGGACTGGGAGTAGGACTGAGGAGGAGAAGGGGATTGAGGAGGAGGGTGAGGAGGACTGAGGAGAAGGACGAGGACGAGGACGAGGAGTCAGGAAGAGGACTGAAGAGGACTGAGGAGGAGAAGGACTCAGGAGGAGGAAGACTTAGGAGGAGGAGGACATCTAAATGTTTTGTCTGTTTTTGTCCGCCCTACTTTTTGTCCGTTTTGAAAATACAGGGTACCGAACGGACACAAAACATGATCCCCCAGCCAAGCATGTGTTACGATACAAATGTACTTGACTATACATTTAAGGTGCAGTGTACTAGTGATATTATGGTATGTTTAAAGACCGGACCACAAAATATAACCCTAGTGTTGTACTAATACATAATAACAAGTAACAGGGATAAAATTAATGAGCAGAAACAATCAATCTCACGTCAAGAGGCCAAAGCACTCGGGTCTGGGAGTACATGACAACTCCAACTAGTAGTGAGCATACTAGCCCCTGCAGTGGAAAAACACATAAAACATACTATTGGAATGTCCAATTAGTTCGTTTTCTCATAACAATATAGCATATGTAGGGGTTTTTTATCACTTCCTCACTTCTGAGAGGTTTTAGAGATCGATTCTCTAAAATTTCTCAATTTTCCGATTTTTCCGATTCCGATTTTGGCCTCATCAACCCTCATATCGGACATCGGGTTGGACCCCCCCCCCCCACTTTTAAAATGTATAAAAACGCAGTCTTTTCAGATACGATATCAAGATTTTACACACATCTTGAACTAGATATGAATAAACTTCGAGCAAAATTTCAACTTGATACCACAAGAAATGATTAAATTATAGCCTCTCCATGAAACAAATTGTGTTTTTCCTAAAAATGCACTTTGACCAGGAAATGATCGATTACAGAAATGAGTTTTCTCGAAATCAAATTTTGTGAGTTGGAATCGGTCACTGAACTTCCTGTCACAGGAATCCTGTGAGGTCATTTGGGTTGGCTAATTTTGGTGAGAACCACCTTAATAGCATGGATATGTAGCTCCCCCCCCCCCCCCCCGGGTAGCTATTCAATACTTATGTAATTTACCCAAGATTCTAGAGTTAATATTCAAGAGTTACGATTTAAGATTGAATAATAACCGGGGGGGGGGGGGGGGGGGGGTTGCCCGACAGTAGAACCTGACACAGATCACACTCAGGTGCAGTCATGGTGATATCATCTAAATGTGTCTATCTAATGTATTGTTTTGTTGCCGAACACACTACAGAACCACTACTAAAGTGCTGTGTCTGATTGTGTCACTACTCGCTCACTGTCTCTCAGTTGTAGCGCACAATGGACTGTAATTGTGCATTAAGTCACCCCTGTCATGTCAGTTGCTGTGTTGTAATATATATATATACATTATGGAGGAACACGTATTAGGGAGATATATATCTACTTTGCTGGAAATATTATATCTACATTGCGCAACATGTGTATGCTAACTACTAAGAACGATTTCTTCACACGCCCTAAAAATAGAGGTCTAATTATCGCTAATATCGCTAATACTTTCTAATTCTGGGCACAAAATTACTAATGTCTAAACTAAACCGGAAGTTCTCAACTCATTGAGCTTCTTGCTGAAGGTGTAGTAGTGTAGTAGTGTAGTAGTGTAGTAGTGTAGTAGTGTAGTAGTGTAGTAGTGTAGTAGTGTAGTAGTGTAGTAGTGTAGTGTATTGTAGTAGTGTAGTGTAGTAGTGTAGTAGTGTAGTAGTGTAGTAGTGTAGTAGTGTAGTAGTGTAGTAGTGTAGTAGTGTAGTAGTGTAGTAGTGTAGTAGTGTAGTAGTGTAGTAGTGTAGTAGTGTAGTAGTGTAGTAGTGTAGTAGTAGTTATAATTAAAAGTGTAGTAGTGTAATTAAAGTGTAGTACGTGCTCAATGCACCAACTATACACTATTACACTGTTCTGCACAGTTATTAATTACCCCACTAATTACAGCACGCACACTCTTCAACAACGTGTTGTTACATTACGTACTCCTACGAGTTACCAGATTGAAGCTTAAATTGACGTACCAAGCAAGCTATGTGTGATCAAATAGGTTACCTAATACCTAATATTACTTTTAAGCTTTTAATAGTCTAGTGTTACCTATAGTGTGCTATAGTACTGTGTTCTAAAGTGTTATATTTTTCTAAGTGTAAAGCGTACTAACCCAGAGTTTCCTTTAAGAGCGCCATGGTGTAGAGCGTTGAAGCCTCTATCGTTAGGGATTTTCAGATCCGCTCCTGCGTCTATCAGTAACTTTACAATCTCATTCCGTTCTTTAGCAATGGCATCATGTAGTGGTGTGTCTCCATATGCGTCCTGGTTAAAATTAAAACGTTTTAAAAGAACATTTTAAAAATATTAGGCTAAACATATGATTTTATTTTGTTAATTTGTAACAATTATCTAGGCCCCAGATGGTCTATGTAAAGCTAAAGTGCCGTATACTAGATATCTACAGGGTGGCCCAAAAGTGACTACCCACACGCAACCTCTTAATAACTCACGTAATTCGTCTCCAAATTGCACCAAAATTTCAGAGATTATAGATATGGGTCAAACTTAGATTTCCTGAAAGTTTCGTAAGCCACGCCCAATTACAGTGGGCGTGGCGTGACACTCCCTCTTTTTCACTATTGTCTTCATAAAATGAGAACGCTTTAAGCTAAGAACTCCAAATTTTTTTGCACACATTTGGCTTGATAATTTAAAACCTTTCCCGAAGTTTCAAGTTCATTTTTCAAAATTTGCCTGAGTTATATATAGTTGTATATATAAATTGATAAGAAACATCTGGTAACTGTTTCGTGTGGTATTTCAATACGTCAAATTGATAAAGCTTTCGCTGACGTTAAGGAAAGTAGAGATTGTCCAGCAAGGGTGTTAATTAGCCGCAATCCTCCCAAGATAAAATACGTTAGGATCTTAAGATTTTTTAGATATCATTGAGCATAAGCAGTGATACAACGTATCTCGGGATGATCCGCAGAGTCTCGACTAGTTTCGGCTTACCGCCATCAACAGGATCGATGAATCATCTAGCGGGAAATTTGAAATCAATTATCAATAAACAACATTCCGAAAGTATAAAAGTAAAATTCAAAAGAAAAAGTCAGTAGGAAAATGTACGAAGTAGGTAATGTAAATAAGGTAACTACTGTGAAAGCATGGAGTGGGCCAAAACAACTACAAAACGTGCAGAGTAAGACTGAACTGAGATAGGAAGTTAAAAGGAGGAAACACGTTCGCAAGCAAAAAGTACACTTTACTGCTAATAACCTAAGAGAGAGTGTGTGTAAGTGTAAAGGGTAAAAAACGCCAAACATCGGACCTAATTCCCGGTAACTTTGCTCCTATTTAACCCAATAATCCTCGCTTTAAATTTCTCGATATAAATATCTTCAAACATGTTAAGTTCCTCTCTACTACATTGTTTAATAATACCCAAATTAAAATTGCTTAATTTCTCAGAAAGTTTGTCTTGGTGCATTTCAGATATGTGCATGGAAAGGGCCGATTTAGTGTAACAACCTGGTTTAAAAGCTGCCCTGTGGCTGTTCATTCGTGTGCTTAAAGTCAACCAGGTTTGGCCGAAATAAAAGCCACTATCGCACAGTTTACATTGGGCTACATAAATCACGTTTTCATTACTACAGTTAAGCCGCATGTCAATTCTGATAATCTGTTTGTTAACTGTCAAAGTACCATTTGCTGTTCCACTAGTTAGCTTGCATGTAAGACAGCGAGGTCTATTGCAAGCTTGTGATGTTATGTCCGCCGTATTGATGGAGTTGGGTGCTGAGTCAGCAGGTGTTGTCGCAAATCTCCGCCTCTTGAACATTTCATCTGCGATGTTGTTGTCCCTTCTGTGAGCTATTGTTATGGATACCTGCTTACCAATGATATGCTCAATAGTTTGTTTCTTATCTTCAAGGAAGCTCCTGATTTCGTTGAGTTCCTTGCAGTACTGTGTTGAGAGGATCAAGTTGCAGTGTTCACTATTTGGCATAGACTCATTGGTATTCTCCCTCGGTGTAAGGCGTTGATCTCGGTTAACCAGACTAGCTTTGGTTAATGCTGCCTTAAGTTCTGCATCCCTGTATCCGCTTTTCTTGAAGTCTCCCATAATCTCTTGTGCTGCTTCCATAAAAGTGTCCTCATCTGAGCATATGGTTTTTGTTCTTAGAAGTTGTGAGTAAGGAACGCTTTTGAAGACATGAGGAGGATGGTGACTGTTCCTCTGTAGAAAAGATCTGTTATCAGTAGGTTTCTTGAACAGAGAGGTAGCCAGAGTTACTGGTGTGTCGTGTTCTGGATCTGTTATCCTGACCTTAACATCCAAGAAGCTTAGCTCTCTACCTCCATCCCCTGTGAACTCTATCCCGTAAGTTGATGACTCACTGTTGAGTTTAGAGACGAAATCCTCAAATTCCTCTTTCGTACCTCTCCATATACCGAAAATGTCGTCGATATACCTTTTCCATAATCTGATGAGTACATCCCACTCTGGTATTTTAGATTTGAGATGTAGTTTGAGAAATTTGAGGAATGTGTCAGCCAAAGGTCTAGATATGGAGCCGCCTGTTGGTACTCCTTTGATGGCTTTGAAATACATGCCTCTGTACTCTAGAGTGGAGTTTTGAAGACAGAATTCGATGCATGGGAGTATGCCGCTTCTGATTTCAGGGGTTAGGGTTCTATCCTCTTCCAGTGCTGCTTTGACTGACTGTAGAACGATGGTCTGGTCCATGCTCGGGTAAAGGGCTTTCACGTCTAGAGTATAGAGTAATTCGCCTTCTTCTATTCCGACTTCTTTTATTTGGTGTAGGAAATCGTTTGTATCCTTGATGTATTCATCACTAGCATAGTTACGTGAAACTTGGCCGAAGTGGTGAGCAAGGAATTGTTCAAGCCTGGTTGTTGGAGATTGGGTAAGAGCGTGTACTAATCTCGATGGGGGAATGGTCCTGTCTAGGATTTGTTGGGGGTCTAGTTTGTGGATCTTGAATAGTGGGTATGGTATTCCTGTCCTTGTCTTAAAACAGGTTTTTCTCATTTTCCCTCCTCTTTCTGTGTACCCCGTAATGGTTTCTAAAATCTTGTTGTTGAAAGAGCCGTTATTGATTAGATTTTCAATAAGCAACTTCTGGTTTTTAAGAATTCCATCATTAGGGTCTTCTGGTAAACTGCTGTAACCATCTGATTTGCTAAGTTCAGCTCTTATAGCTTTATCCACATCCTGGGGGTTCATCACAAGGACACTTCCTCCTTTATCAGCTCTTGTGAAAACCAATTTACCAAGGCGCATCATGCTCTTACACCAGTTTTGGCCTCTAGTTTCCGCTTTTGTCAGGTTGGGGGTGGGTCTGCTCAGTACTATTGTATCTACAAGTTGTTTCATTTCTGTTTTCAGTTCTTCGATTCCTGGTTGTTGAAATGGGGGATACTCCTATTTCACCTACTGATCAGCCTCTTTATCAGAAAAGAGCCGAACGTTCTGCTAGCCAGCAGGCGTATAAAAAACGATGCCGGAAACACTATAAACATCGTAAAGCAGCTGAAAAGAAGGAACGTTTGGCTGCTAGACTGAAAACTATAGATGACTCCAACATGGTCATAAACTTTTCAGACATCACCCTACCACCAGAAGCGAAGCTGTTCCTTGCCAAAGGCACAGGTTTCGTCAGTTCCAGAAAACCGGATAGGGACAAACTGCACTACGATACCAGGGAGCTGATAAGAAATATAGCATGGAGAGCACATCATAACACGAACAACGATGAGGAAAATCGGGAAGAGCAAGACACCGTACCTACAGATCTATTTCCTAAAGCACTCTACATCAAGCGCACAGGTTGGCCCCCATTTCAACAACCAGGAATCGAAGAACTGAAAACAGAAATGAAACAACTTGTAGATACAATAGTACTGAGCAGACCCACCCCCAACCTGACAAAAGCGGAAACTAGAGGCCAAAACTGGTGTAAGAGCATGATGCGCCTTGGTAAATTGGTTTTCACAAGAGCTGATAAAGGAGGAAGTGTCCTTGTGATGAACCCCCAGGATGTGGATAAAGCTATAAGAGCTGAACTTAGCAAATCAGATGGTTACAGCAGTTTACCAGAAGACCCTAATGATGGAATTCTTAAAAACCAGAAGTTGCTTATTGAAAATCTAATCAATAACGGCTCTTTCAACAACAAGATTTTAGAAACCATTACGGGGTACACAGAAAGAGGAGGGAAAATGAGAAAAACCTGTTTTAAGACAAGGACAGGAATACCATACCCACTATTCAAGATCCACAAACTAGACCCCCAACAAATCCTAGACAGGACCATTCCCCCATCGAGATTAGTACACGCTCTTACCCAATCTCCAACAACCAGGCTTGAACAATTCCTTGCTCACCACTTCGGCCAAGTTTCACGTAACTATGCTAGTGATGAATACATCAAGGATACAAACGATTTCCTACACCAAATAAAAGAAGTCGGAATAGAAGAAGGCGAATTACTCTATACTCTAGACGTGAAAGCCCTTTACCCGAGCATGGACCAGACCATCGTTCTACAGTCAGTCAAAGCAGCACTGGAAGAGGATAGAACCCTAACCCCTGAAATCAGAAGCGGCATACTCCCATGCATCGAATTCTGTCTTCAAAACTCCACTCTAGAGTACAGAGGCATGTATTTCAAAGCCATCAAAGGAGTACCAACAGGCGGCTCCATATCTAGACCTTTGGCTGACACATTCCTCAAATTTCTCAAACTACATCTCAAATCTAAAATACCAGAGTGGGATGTACTCATCAGATTATGGAAAAGGTATATCGACGACATTTTCGGTATATGGAGAGGTACGAAAGAGGAATTTGAGGATTTCGTCTCTAAACTCAACAGTGAGTCATCAACTTACGGGATAGAGTTCACAGGGGATGGAGGTAGAGAGCTAAGCTTCTTGGATGTTAAGGTCAGGATAACAGATCCAGAACACGACACACCAGTAACTCTGGCTACCTCTCTGTTCAAGAAACCTACTGATAACAGATCTTTTCTACAGAGGAACAGTCACCATCCTCCTCATGTCTTCAAAAGCGTTCCTTACTCACAACTTCTAAGAACAAAAACCATATGCTCAGATGAGGACACTTTTATGGAAGCAGCACAAGAGATTATGGGAGACTTCAAGAAAAGCGGATACAGGGATGCAGAACTTAAGGCAGCATTAACCAAAGCTAGTCTGGTTAACCGAGATCAACGCCTTACACCGAGGGAGAATACCAATGAGTCTATGCCAAATAGTGAACACTGCAACTTGATCCTCTCAACACAGTACTGCAAGGAACTCAACGAAATCAGGAGCTTCCTTGAAGATAAGAAACAAACTATTGAGCATATCATTGGTAAGCAGGTATCCATAACAATAGCTCACAGAAGGGACAACAACATCGCAGATGAAATGTTCAAGAGGCGGAGATTTGCGACAACACCTGCTGACTCAGCACCCAACTCCATCAATACGGCGGACATAACATCACAAGCTTGCAATAGACCTCGCTGTCTTACATGCAAGCTAACTAGTGGAACAGCAAATGGTACTTTGACAGTTAACAAACAGATTATCAGAATTGACATGCGGCTTAACTGTAGTAATGAAAACGTGATTTATGTAGCCCAATGTAAACTGTGCGATAGTGGCTTTTATTTCGGCCAAACCTGGTTGACTTTAAGCACACGAATGAACAGCCACAGGGCAGCTTTTAAACCAGGTTGTTACACTAAATCGGCCCTTTCCATGCACATATCTGAAATGCACCAAGACAAACTTTCTGAGAAATTAAGCAATTTTAATTTGGGTATTATTAAACAATGTAGTAGAGAGGAACTTAACATGTTTGAAGATATTTATATCGAGAAATTTAAAGCGAGGATTATTGGGTTAAATAGGAGCAAAGTTACCGGGAATTAGGTCCGATGTTTGGCGTTTTTTACCCTTTACACTTACACACACTCTCTCTTAGGTTATTAGCAGTAAAGTGTACTTTTTGCTTGCGAACGTGTTTCCTCCTTTTAACTTCCTATCTCAGTTCAGTCTTACTCTGCACGTTTTGTAGTTGTTTTGGCCCACTCCATGCTTTCACAGTAGTTACCTTATTTACATTACCTACTTCGTACATTTTCCTACTGACTTTTTCTTTTGAATTTTACTTTTATACTTTCGGAATGTTGTTTATTGATAATTGATTTCAAATTTCCCGCTAGATGATTCATCGATCCTGTTGATGGCGGTAAGCCGAAACTAGTCGAGACTCTGCGGATCATCCCGAGATACGTTGTATCACTGCTTATGCTCAATGATATCTAAAAAATTTCAATACGTCAACAGAAAACTGGGTTCAAAGACTTAATTAATTATACAATACCATTTAAAATCACACACACAGAGTCAGGCTGACAGACGGGTTTTTACCTTTAAGTTGAGGTCAGCACTGCCCTCAATGAGACAAGCGACCATGTCCTTGTGACCCTTGTTAGCAGCCACGTGAAGTGAAGTACAGCCGTTACCATTGCTCGCGTTTATATCCGCTCCGTTACGGATCAGCAAGGAGGCTGCTCCAGGCTCATTCCTGCGGTTTGTTGTTGTTAGGAACAAAGTAGCGGCGAAACATAACCCATAATTCTAACAATGAGAAATGTAAATTTGGATCGCAAGAGGTGATTGATAGACTATCGCGCAGTTAGAATATACAGCCAGCTGTCAGTCTAAATGCACTTTCAGTAAACTTAGTTGCAGATATTCTAACTACACTTCAGATACGTTAGCTGCTAGTGGTCTAATTATATTGCATTAGATGCAAGTCTTACTACACTGCAGGTTAATTAGCTGCAGATAGTATAATGTGACCACTGGGCATCGTTAATATTTTCTGAATGAAAAACGTTTGAAAAATGTGGATGTGCAGGTTGAATTGCTCTGTGCAGGTAAACAATAAACATATAATATAATATGTTCATCTAAGAAATAAAAGAAAGTACATTATTAAGTATATTTAATAAAGTTACCCGAAAGCAGCATAATGAAGAGCGTTATCACCATCATCATCCTTTATCTCTAGGTTAGCACCGGCCTTTATCAGCTCCTCCACAACCATCTGGAAGCCTTGATGAGATGCTACTTGGAGGGCTGTCTTACCTTGCACTTTTATATCGATCTGAGAAGAAAAGGCTAGAGGGGGATATTTTGACGGTAACTACAGGTCCTATCATCTATCTTTTGACAATTACAGATAACTACTGACACTTGACAGTTACTGGACACTGGTGACAGTATTCATGCTATCAAGACTACAGATGGGCCACAGTGGACAGAGTAAGGCTGATCTACAAGAGCAACTAACAATACGCTGCTCACTTCCCAGTAAACTCACAATCTGAGGTTGTGCTGCTAGAATGTCCCGGACGCGCTCGTCTCGGCCCTGTGCGGCCTCCTGTACCAACTGGAACTGACTGCCCTCAGTCTCACCTCCCTCGTTAAGGAGTTGTGGGACGCGTGCCAGGATCTCCGCTAACTCCGCGTCTGAACCGATCTTAACGTCTGAGTCGTTACTGTTCTCGTTGTTACTGTTCTCGTTGTTGTTGGAGGACTCGCCTCCTCTGTCTGCTGCCATCTCTCTCATCGGTGTTTGGTCTGGTAGGAAAGAGTTGTGTTAATTCACTTTCACTTTCACTTTTACAATTCACTTTCACTTTTACAATTCACTTTCACAATTCACTTTCACAATTCACTTTCACTTTTACAATTCACTTTCACTTTTACAATTCACTTTAATTAGTTCTGGGAGACAGTGAATGTTTGTTTTTAGAGTAACAAATGTGCGCTGTTTTCAGGTGTTGTAGTTTAACTAGTCAATCTATTAACAGGACAGACGTACATACTACATGTTATTTGTTAAATGTCTATACTATTAAAGTTTTGGTTTATATATACAGTCTAATCAGATATTTGTCTTATTTGTTTTGACATGCGGTGCAAGCTTTTTTTAACACGTGACTTAATAGTGATGTTTATACTATTACAATTCTAGTTCAGTGTACCAGGATCAGATATTGGAGTTTCAGCCTTATTTGTTTTGACAAGCTCTTTTTGACTTGCAGCATTGACCAATCATATCCCGGTATCGCAACGCACCCAGAAAATTTGTGTGATGAGACTATACAGTTTACATTACTAATGTACCAGCTGTTCTACGTGATACGGTTATTAGTTACTGTTACCTAATATATCTGTGTACACTGTACAGCGACTGTAACTGTTATCTAATATTTAACATTCATAATTATCCACATTTTGTCAGGTCTGTCAACGAGCCGATGATTATAAAAGTTATGAAAATAATGTAAATTCACATAACGTGTGTAATGTGTATTATATATATATATAATACATATGTTGTATTAATTCACTTTCACTTTCACATAACGTGTGGCAAGGAAAATTACTCAGAGAATTTGTTAGACAATATTTGGACTAAATCCGTACTTCACTGATAGTGACAGTAAATATTCAAGCTTAAGGTTTAGTATCACATGATCGTCTGATTTCAATATCAAGTCTTTTCTGCACGATAAACAGTAAAGATAAACAAGTAACGATACTTAAACAACTTAGTAAATATTCCAAGGATCGGATAATATCCGGTAGTAGAGACTAGGTATGACAAGTGAAACTACTGTTTACTCCTAAACAGTCCTACCTAGTCTCTACTACCGGATATTATCCCTGGAATCATTATCTTATCATGAGACTGATAAACAGCGAACCTCTCCAGGTTGGTATGGGAAAATGCTGTCAAGCACCAGAGTAACTATTGAGGCGTTACACGAGAACATGGTTACGCGGTAACGAGCATGCAAGCTAACAAGCTCGCCTTGACCCGAACTTAAAATCTTGCCATTGGTCCTGTATTATACATTTAAATACAAGCACTACTGTAGGAAATCACGTGTCATTAATTCAATGTATACATCATACCTGAAGAAGGAGGCTGAACAGACTCGCCTTGACCACTACATCCGGTACGGGAAGGTCTGTGGACACGACAAGAAGATACCATGAAGTAATTCATGTCTCTAGGATACTTTTACCAAACAATCAGAGAAACAACTGTACGATGACTTTATCAAACTTAGTATCTTTAATTACTAATTACCCAGCTTGTATCAAATTTCGTAATTCAAACCTACACTCAGTTCAGCATTTTTTGATTGAATTGAAAAATCCCTCCTAGCAAGCCAGGAGGGTACGACCCCTAATAAGCATAGATGAAGGGGCTGTACACTCAGCTCAGGGGATGTCGGTCTGCGCATAATCCTCTAAGAGAATTGTAAACATTTTGGGATAAGTTTAAGTATAGGAGTGGTACCTACCACAAGCAATGCGATAGCCTAACTAAAACTTTACTGCCGGAGAGACCTACTATAGATAGCCTAACTAAAGCTTTACTGCCGGAGAGACCTACTAAAAAGTGAGGATATTTGAAGATTTTTGAAAAAAGACAGGATATTTGAAAAACACTCACTATTTTGCATGTTGTTGCCATCCATGGGTTGTAGCGGTTGAACACACCTAGGATTGTAGGTCCACACACTGTTCTTAACATGTATACGTAGATCCATGTCTTGGTAGACTCGTACTACTTTACCTACCTGTGCAAACATATTACCTTATATGGTAGTGTTATCATAGCAGTATTACCTTGTACATATTATTATGGTAATATGGTAAACATGCCAGATTTAATCTGCAGCTATCACTACAATTTAAAATAATTGTTTTAACTTTCTTCAGCTCCTACAGTAATTAATTAATTAATTAATCAATTATAGACTAATCACGAACCTCTCCTAAAGTGGCTGCCATAGCCTCGGTCCACTCGCCGTGTCCTATTTGAAGTCTCTGAACTGCCTCCATATCGTCTATAATCCTAACTAACTGCCCTGCGTGGTACGTCTCTATTCTTTTCAGTGCTGCTGGGTGAAAAGTCCACCTCTGTTTTGCCTGAAGACACCATATTATTATAGTTTCAATATTCAACATAACTTTATTAATCTATTTCAAGACAGGGAAGATATCGTTTTTAATTATAATTGCAATATTTCTCATCTGTATTTAATGTACTAGTCAGAGATACTCGATTAAAAAACTAACAGTGTCAAATAGGTAACCTGACATGATATTAGATATTATACTAATGATCCACAAAAAGCATCCTAGCTCCTTTTTTATATCAACAATGCCACAAAAAACGATCTAAACAGAATTAAACTCCTCCTCAAATTACCTCTTCAAAGCTGACTCTGACGTCGTTCTTCTCAGTGACTCTGTGAACCACTCCAATCATGCCAATAACAAGAGCCATCTTAGGGTTCCAGCCCCCGTGCCCTTCTTGTAAAGCTTTCAGTATCTCCAGATCCAACTCTACTCTGACATAGTCCCCAGGTTTAAACTGACAGATGGGCCGATCTGTTAACTGTTGTACTGCTGACGGGATGGTCACTGGGGGAGACGGGATTAGGAAACTTAGGATTTCAAATATAAGGGAAAACTGAACAACTTCAAACTACTAAGAATATTCTAGTAATTCCAATACTTATACTACGTTGATAGAATACTGATCAAGCTTTCAAAAGTTTAATTTGAGTAATTAACAAGTAAAAGTAGTAAAAAACATACTTCTCTGAAGAGAATACTCCTTGCCGAGGACAGGAAGATGTTTAGGATAGTAATTACCGTATATCCCCTCCTGGACACACTTCAGATCTACTTTACCCTTGTGTCCCACTCTGTATACGTTAGTCTGACCTGTCCTCATCCACTTAACACAGGCTACACTCATCTGAAATATTATATACCTTTAGTAATAATTGACAACATGATAGCTCTACAATCATCTCTTTCTAGCTCTACAACTATATTTGTCTCAAATTATAGCTTTAACCTCTATAGTTTACAATTATAGGTCTATAATCCCACAATATAGCTTTAAAATTATAGGTATCTAATTACGGCTGGATAATAATAGGTCTACAATCCCACAATATAGCTTTAAAATCATAGGTATCTAATTACAGCTGGATAATAATAGGTCTACAATCCCACAATATAGCTTTAAAATTATAGGTATCTAATTACAGCTGGATAATAATAGGTCTACAATCCCACAATATAGCTTTAAAATTATAGGTATCTAATTACAGCTGGATAATAATAGGTCTACAATCCCACAATATAGCTTTAAAATTATAGGTATCTAATTACAGCTGGATAATAATAGGTCTACAATCCCACAATATAACTTTACAATTATAGGTGTCTAATTACAGCTGGATAATAATAGGTCTACAATCCCACAATATAACTTTAAAATTATAGGTATCTAATTACAGCTGGATAATAATAGGTCTACAATCCCACAATATAGCTTTAAAATTATAGGTATCTAATTACAGCTGGATAATAATAGGTCTACAATCCCACAATATAGCTTTAAAATTATAGGTATCTAATTACAGCTGGATAATAATAGGTCTAAAGAGAGGTAGGTACTAACAGCGGACTCCTGGTCCCAGCCTCTAATACAGGTAACAGTTCCAGTAGCAGTGGAGCCTTCCTCTCCTCCATCCTGGTTATCCCAATCCCAGTCCGGCCCTCTCTTAACAACTGCACCAACGTATATCCCTGTAATTGTTAACTGAGTAGCTGGTAAGTAGACGATATTGTATTTCTACTACGTGGATACATCATGTTTAGTGTTTACTGTGTTTGTCTTAGTGTAGAGAGGAGTATTGAGTCAGTGCATTTGCAGTGTAGTGCCTACCTTTAGCGACGTGTTTAACAGATGCCTCGCGCGGAGGAACACTCACACCCGGGAGTCCATCTGAAGTGATCCTGGTGAACGCGTGTGTCAGGTCGTGTTTACCACTCATGTAACAATTAGTACACAGGTCAAAGTCTTCACACTGCAAACAAGTCCAACAGAAGCCAGGGAAAGCTCGGGTTTGACAGGAATCGCACTGTCGCGTACGAAACACAACACCTAGCGAAGAAATAAGATGTAAGACAAATCATCTAAACTTGTTTGTCTTCACTGGAAATAATCCTATAAATGTCTTCCAAAATGTTTAAATTGTATGCAAATCTTGATTAAAAAGTCACGACTCTTCACAAGAATAACATTTCCTTGATTGAACGAAAAACATATTATAGATTTTACACTTGTTACAACTGTCACTGGATCATAGATTGTAGATTGATCCAACAACTTACCCACAGTAGCATTGTCGAACACATGTAAATCATACGCATCTAAATATCCAGTTCTGTAGTTAGTCCTGCAAGCATTCTTATATTTATACACTGTAGCTTTTAAAATTAAACATTTAAAAAGTCATTTTGGCCGACTAACAATCGCACCAACAACAATTGCAAGAGAAGAGATAATCTGAGTACACAAGGTTTAAGTGGAAAAGAATAAGTTTGAACTGACCTGTTGCCGCCATCCCACTGAACCACAACAGTCTTATCAGGTGATGTGGGGCTGCCATGTTTACCTACTTCCACCACAGTTCCAACAAACCCCTCACCACCATCTTGTTCAGCCCACTTCCAATCTGGTCCTCTCACGACTCGTAATCCAACTATGTGTCCAGACATACTCAGTTCTACAGTTACATATTACTACCGCTAAGCCTTTTGAAGCAGATATTAAATCGTGTGGTCATTAAGAGATGAAACGTTAAAATTATATTTATATTGAAGATTGATTATATTATCACTATGAAACTATTGCAATTAAACAAAATGTCACCTTCTATCTTCTTCCGATTATAAGTTATCAATTATTAAATCGTCTTGCTAAATTTAAATTTCTTTTTTTCACCTTGATAGCTTGATCGCATGCTAATCCCTCTAATCTAAAAATCGAATCATATTAGCGCAACTGAATACACCACAACTAGAGATGGTGCTTAATCAGGGGAAAGATTGACTTGAAAGCAAGAAAACTGTGTTAAACTGAGAAATTATAAAGTAGAGTTAATATAATATAAGTAAAAATCATGACAGCACATTATCACACATATCTACAAACAAAGTATCATCAAACTGTATGAAAAAATATTTCATCACCAACATTATTAATTTATCAAATACAATTATTATTAAATATTATCAAATCTCTATTTTATTTTAAACTTGACGAAATCCTCTGGCAGCTCCAGAAGAAACAAATTTTGAAGATCCTTTATCTTAGTCACACTCTTACTACATCTGTTGCTTAAAGCTAGGGTAAGACCAGATCTACTCATTCCAAATACACCCAGGCCTAGTTCCAGCTCCAAGACAATTACCCAACTCTTATGAACACAATTGGGCACAATACTCATGATGAGGCCTTATTGAAGCTTTATAGATAGCAATCATAACAACCTTTTCATTAATAATAACTAAATTCCTTGCAATCCAATTAATCATACGATTTGCCTTAGAAATGCATGCTTTGAAATTGAACTGTTCATTCCATAATTAAATAAAAGAATGAATGGATTTGAGACAGAGTAGCAACTCTTAACATCAAAGACCGCACTCAATTTTGGCGGAAATACAAATATTATGTAGACTATCTTTAAATTCTTTAAATGGTGTATGGGTGCAGGAAAATAGCTGTTGTGTGTTCAAATCTTTTGATGTAACATTCTTAATAAGGAAAGGAAGAAAATCAAACTACATGTCACCGGGTGCTGATAGACTTATCTCATCCTATTTTGGAAAGATTTGCGAAAGAGTTATATTCAACAGATTATATAGCTTCTTTCATTCACAGAATTCCTTGTATGAAAACCAGTACGGATTCCGTAAAAATCATTCGACTAGTTATGCTTTAAATTACTCAGTTAACCACATAGAATCACGTCTCAAGAAAAAACAACACGTACTTGGAATATTTATTGATCTTAGCAAAGCTTTTGATACAATCTCACATGAAAAGTTACTGCATAAGTTAGAAAATTATGGGATCCGTGGAAATGCAAACAACCTTATAGCAAGTTACCTGTCGAATAGATACCAGTATGTCTCAGTATTAGGTGAAGACTCTGAGAAACTGCCCGTTGTCTACGGAGTGCCCCAAGGGTCCTGTTTAGGTCCCTTGCTGTTTATCATCTACATAAATGACATCCGAAACTCATCAATTATAGGAACGTTTATACTATTTGCCGATGACACTAACATATTTATTGAAGAAACATGTGTCAGAAGACTGTACGAAAAGGGAAATGAAGTTTTAGCATCTGTTTATAAGTATATGAAACTAAACTTATTACATATTAACATTAAGAAATGCTGTTTTATCCACTTTAGACCGTCACGTGCCAAAGAGGAAGTAGAAAATGACGAGAACATATTAACTTTGAACAATGTGGTCATTAAAAAAGTCCAAGAAGCTAAATTTCTAGGTGTCATTATCGATGATCAACTTAATTGGAAAACTCACACACGGTCACTTAACTCAAAACTTAAATGTGAAGTAGGTAAGTTATGCAGAATACGACACATTAGTGAAACAAATTTTAGTGAAACAAATTTAAAATTTTATCCTTTATTTTACAATCATAATATAATAATATTTATAAGCCTCCGTTTTGAAAGTTTTAAATTTTAATATATTCACATTTCTATTTAAAATCCAATTTAATGTATAAGTCAATAACTGGCCGCCAAAGCCGCGCATTTTTGAAAACAGGATTAAATTGTTTATGATTATACGACAAATAGAAATAAATTTAAACTATCCGTGGTTTTTTTAAAATGAATTATAATCTTACCTAAATCCAAAGCCAGCTTTGTAAAATTTACTATTAGATCATAATATATCGTCAATTCTCAATATTTACAATGCAACATTTGTATTCGGCGGCGCGCGCTTCGCGCGCGAAAAGTGGCATGCAACGTCTGTCAACATTTCATTAATCTACATACAAGCGTACTCCAGCCCCTGCACGCATCCGTTCCTATGCGGCGCGGCTCAAGCCGCGCACGCACGTATTATTTTATACTTTTTGCTTTCTAATAAATATCGTGTCAATGTGTACGTCTAAATGTTCATGTTTTGTGTAAACCGAATCCAATTGAGATTAGTGACAAGGATAAGGACCCAAGTGCCTGTACGGCTTTTTCGGACCCCTGTGGACCACTACTCTTGAAATCGCTCTACAACTATTGAACATTTATAACTGTTATATAATATATAACGTCATTTGACAATTATTATCATTAATCTACAATCTAACTGTCTTGCTGAGGGGGAGGAGTAAACGCTTCACAAACTAAAATATAATACTTACAACATACAAAATTTAAAACCATCAACACTGTTATAGTTAATATCAAGGGCCGATTTTGTATACCGCTATTTCGTTGTAATATCTAGTATATCTTTACATTTTAATACAATAATGAAATACAATAGGATACATGTTTCGAGAAAGAAAGGTTGATCCGATTATTAACAAAAGTAAACAAAAGTCCATCAGGAACTCCACGGAGTCGAAAAAGGTACACGGCTGCTGTCTGGTGCTGCTAGGCATTTATTGATCAAGATGTTTTATTGTATTGGTTTTTGATGATTCTATTGTTCGTGACTAATCAAGTTCTAAGTGGGGGGTATAAAGTGCTGCTTAAGATACTTCGTCATCTCATGTCCAGTATAATGAATAAGATAGTAAACAATACAGTTTCAGTAGTTGACCCATACAGTTAAGTCCGTCATAACTCACAATTGTTTAATCGTCTGTCAATTGTCAAAGTCGTTGTGTGTTTAGTCGCTGAGTTAGCAGTAATATAAGTTGTTACGCGCGCGCGCGTTTAATCCCGTCGACGTGAGATGTGACAATGAAAACGCTACAGAATTATTGTTTTCGCGCGTTACGTAGAATTTACTAGTGTGTAATACTGGTTAATACTGGGTGTACACTGAGTGTAAGTCGCTAAGTTTCATATACGAGCCGTTGAATATTTCAAATTTTGAGTGTATCGTGAGCATGTTTTGCAGTGCAATTGTTCGGTACTAGTGTGTTTGTGTGTATATATATATATATCATCTGTGGAGTATGGTGTGTGGACTGTGGTAAATAATGTGTTTAGTTGGAGTGCAGTGGTTGCATGTATGAGGAAATATAAGTGGTTATTTTAGTAAATCACATTAATCAAAACTTGAGCTCATTTGTGGCAAAATTAAGCTCACACCAATCAAGTGTATCATGCTTGAATTGCAATTCTTGTAAAGCAATTTTCAATGTATTCTTAAACCCGTTTGTCGGAGTATTAAAACTTATCTTACTTGATGTTTGTCGACAGCTGTTCCACATGTAGGATGATTGGTAGATGAACTGTGAGGATGGTTGTGATGTGATGAAATAATTCTCTCGTCGTGGTGACCTGCTGAATGATGAGTACAGTGATAATGGTTCCTCTAACTTATTGATTTTGAATAGTTCTAAGAGACAAGTGTACTTATACAGGTTGTGAACAGTTAACAATTTCTGATTCTTAAACAAGGGCTTTGAGTGTTCTTTTTTGTAAAAGTCCACACCTAGTTTTTGCTCACCAAATGGTCGTGTCCGGGCACAAGTTCTAAATTTTTCTAAGTAAGCTTCTTTATCCCCAAATAGAATTCTTATACACTTTTTCTGTGTTTTAAAGAGAGGTTCGAGTCGGTTGTTGCTAATACCACCCCATACAGATATTCCAAATCCCAAATGTGATTCGAATAAAGTATGATATAAATCCTTATAATACTGTTTAGGGACAATGTGCCGTATTCTGCATAACTTACCTACTTCACATTTAAGTTTTGAGTTAAGTGACCGTGTGTGAGTTTTCCAATTAAGTTGATCATCGATAATGACACCTAGAAATTTAGCTTCTCGGACTTTTTTAATGACAACATTGTTCAAAGTTAATATGTTCTCGTCATTTTCTACTTCCTCTTTGGCACGTGACGGTCTAAAGTGGATAAAACAGCATTTCTTAATGTTAATATGTAATAAGTTTAGTTTCATATACTTATAAACAGATGCTAAAACTTCATTTCCCTTTTCGTACAGTCTTCTGACACATGTTTCTTCAATAAATATGTTAGTGTCATCGGCAAATAGTATAAACGTTCCTAAAATTGATGAGTTTCGGATGTCATTTATATAGATGATAAACAGCAAGGGACCTAAACAGGACCCTTGGGGCACTCCGTAGACAACGGGCAGTTTCTCAGAGTCTTCACCTAATACTGAGACATACTGGTATCTATTCGACAGGTAACTTGCTATAAGGTTGTTTGCATTTCCACGGATCCCATAATTTTCTAACTTATGCAGTAACTTTTCATGTGAGATTGTATCAAAAGCTTTGCTAAGATCAATAAATATTCCAAGTACGTGTTGTTTTTTCTTGAGACGTGATTCTATGTGGTTAACTGAGTAATTTAAAGCATAACTAGTCGAATGATTTTTACGGAATCCGTACTGGTTTTCATACAAGGAATTCTGTGAATGAAAGAAGCTATATAATCTGTTGAATATAATTTTTTCAAATATTTTACCAAATACTGCAAGTGTCGACACAGGTCTATAATTTTCAAGGAGTTCCTGGTTATCTTTCTTGTAAATTGGACTAATCCTTCCAATCTTAAGGTCATCTGGGAATATGCCATCTTTCATACATTCATTGTACAGTACAGTAAGTAGAGGAGTGACTATTTTTGAAGACTGTTTTACAACATGAATTGGTATATCACTTGCCTTACCGTTCTTAAGTTCAGATATGATTTTGCTAACCTCGTCTGTTGTGCAGTCATGCATGTAAATGCTGGAGGTGTTTGAGAGCGGTAAATAGTCATAGAAACTAGGTAGACTGTTTATGTTCATTTGACCAAGTTCATTGTAAGCAGTATTTAGGTCAGAGGCCAATGATACGAAATACTTATTGAATTCGTTTGCTATGATCCTCCTGTTTGTTATCTTAACGTTGTCTATGGTGAACAGCGGCTTTATTTCACGCCGCCGTTTTCCTCTTATACTATTTATTAGTTCCCAGGTCTTTTTACTATTCCCGCTATTTTCTGCAAATTTACCAGAGAAGTAATCTGTTTTCACAGTTTGACGTGTTTTCTTTAGGACTTTTCTGTATTCTTTGTAGATAAGGTAGCGACTACGTTTTAGTGAGCATTCGGGGCACTGGCAAATCCCGCCCTTGTTATCAGTTTCACCGAGTTTACATTTTCTATTTCTTATCTCAACCCAATTTTCGTACAGTTTATGCTGATTATTAATTGAGCAAATGAGACCGGGAGTTATCCAAGGGTTAACCTTAACAGTTCTCTTAGAGGTTTTCGGGGTTTCTAGTTTAAACGATTTTTCGATGCAGTTTTTGTAAGTGTCATGGAATTCAGTAAAGTTATGGATTATTTTAGTTTTAAGCTCATCTTCAAGATCCACTAGGAAGCCGTTAACATTTGATTGACAGAAATCGTAATACTGTTTAATAGGAGTTTTTCCAGAGTTGACTTCAACATTCCAGTTAAATGTGTTAAAAATAGGCGAGTGGTGAGTTATTCGTTCTTTTAGGGTGCCTGAAGTAATAACATTCTCAATGTCGTTGGTAATTATGTTGTCTATGCAAGATGCTTTACAGCCTGGTTTTTCGTGAGTAGCAATAGATATTAACGGACAAAATCCTTTACTGAACAATATTTCTTCATATTTTTGTACATTTTTGTTATCTTTATCATGAAGATCGATATTAAAGTCTCCAGCTAGATAACTGAACTTCGGCATGTGATCAAGAAGGTTAGAAAGTTCAACTAGAGCTTGGGAAATACAGCCACTTGGTGGACGATACAAAACACCTACATTAACAGGTTGATCTTCGTTACTTAATGATAAGACAAGTATTTCTAAATGTTCTGTGACTTGTGATATATTTTCAATTACTGTAGCATTTAATCTATCGTCAACATAAAGGGCTACTCCAGTGCCCTTTTGTTTGTTGGGTGCTGTGTCCTGATAGTAACTATTATAACCGTCGAGCTGAAATAGATTGCTTAATTCTTTCCCAGTGTTGGTTTCAGCTAGGGCTATTACGGAGAATTTTGTTTTGTACCTACAGGTTTCAATGGCAAGGTTGTCAAAATTTGATTTATTTCCATCAATATTTTGAAAGAGAATAGATGATTGTTTCTTTACTTGGTTGCAGAGAATATTGGTAAGGTCAGATGCAGTGTATGAGTTACAATTATTTAAAGTATTCGAGATTTTGGTTGTGTATTCGTCTAGGTTGTTGTCGTCGTCGTCATTGTCAGTGAGTAGTTTAAATGGGTTATATTTAACCTTGTCTAAATGGATACAACGAGTACAGTAAAACTCATTAGATTGGCTATTTGTATTGGATTTGCGATAGCATTTATGGTGCATTATGCAGTCACAGTGGAAACATTCAACTATTGTTTGGCCGATGACTATGTTCTTAGAACAGACAAGACATACCTCCTTAATGAGGGGAGTCATGTGGTTGGTAGCCATCCACGTGACCCTGACTAGCAGCAGCAGGAACAACAGGACCAGTTTCTCTTCCAGCAGTCACATCCCTGAAGGATCTACTGTCTACCCTTGTGGACCTCCTCTTCCTTTTGTCGATACCACCGTTAATCCTGAGAAGAACAGTGTTACGAATAAATTGACCTAACTTTGCTAGTCCCCTCCAGTTGAGGTGAAGGAAGTCTGGTTTTTGGTGTTTGTTGAGGTCGCGAGAGAGAGAGCGGTCAAGTAGACCATCTCTATCACAGAACTCATCAAATCCATCCACATAACTGACACCAAAATTGGACGGGAGCAGCCTACGTCGAATCAAACTGTTAAAATATATAAGTTTTCTATTTAAGTCAGCACGTTTAGAGGGAATTGCTGGACAAACAAAAACATGTACACACGGATTGACAGATTGTATCTGTGCAATCTTTGAAGCTAATGCATTATAAATAATTTCAATGTCATGTTGGTTCTTGACCTCTTCGTTTTTGAGGTCGTTGACCCCGCACAATATTACACAGTTTCTATACCCCAACGTGACATAAGGATCTATACTATCAATGACCGGAGCGAAGATGCGTTTGCCAGGTAACCACTTGCCGAATGACTTAGCAGGATCAGTACCAAATTTCAAGCCTCCAGTGTTTGAATCCCCGATGATGCATGTGGCATTTCTGTTCAACGAATTCACGGATCTAAGTGTGATGCTGTAACGTAGCCCTTCTATATCACCTGCATCAATACGATGGTTGAACAGTTCTTGGCTACGACGTGTCATAACATACAAGGAACGTGGGTCACATTGCTGCTTGTGCTTATCAGTGCCTGTGTGAGAGTCAGAGAAAGAAACCTGACATGCAGAACCAAGCGAAACAGTGAATATTTGAGACTCTGGATGGATGGTTGGCTCATCATCAGAGTGTCTAGGTAGCTTGCTGTCTGTTCCTTCAAACCGATTTACTAAGCAGCTGTTGATCTGAGGTAGATCACCCTGGCAGAACTCATTATTGATTTTGTCAATGAGTTCCTTGAGAACCGATGGTATTGCCTGTGGCTTTTCAGATGACTTGGAACCTGGGTAATCATACCTTTCCCCATATGTTAGGCAGGAGCGGTCGTTCTCAACTTTGAAGTGACCACTGTCCTTAACAAAAAGTTCTCCTAAATCATTTGCTGTTTGCTGATCAATGTAGTCATTTTTGAACATTTCCACAGGTTTCTGCTCATGATTGGGTAGCTGCACAGGGACTGTAGGCACTGGAGACCGAAGGTGCTGAGTAGGAGGTCCTGGTTGCAATGAGGTGGGAGGAATGCAGGGGCCAGGATTATGCAATGGCTGTAATGAGTCTAAGGATTGTTTCAAATCACTTATGCCTGCAGCTGCAGTGTGCTCATTGGCACAGAGTACAGTGAGCTGTTCAGAGATGTCCTTCAGAAACTGCTCAGATGAAGCTGAGGGTGAGGAGGGTTCTGTAGATGGTCTGGATGACAGAAGTTTGAGGTCCTTCTGAAGTTCGGCAATATTAGTTTTGATTGATTCTAATGATTTATCATGAAGCTTTATTTCATTATTTAGCCCATTAAGGGAGTTCTCTTTAAGAAGCAGGTGTTGAAGGTGAACGTCGAACTGGGAGAGAGTGTCAAGGTTCTTAGAGAACTGTTCGAAGTCAAATTTTTCAAGAGCTGAGCCTGCTGAGCTTGCTGATGCCACGAGTGCACTGACAGTTTCAAGATTCTTAACAGCTGTAGATGCTTCAAAATCTGAGTTGGCCTGTTGCAAAGCCCTTGTGTTCCTGCAGCTGTAACAAAATTCAACTCTCTGTTTTTTCAGTGTTGATACTGGTGCCACGAAGCAGTATGGGCACAGCCATTCTACCATGGAGTTGATAGCTGACCTCGCTATACCTTTCATAGACAAGCAGTCCACATGCCACTCTTGATGACACTTAGAACAGTCAATGAGGTAAACTTTACCGTTAAAAGAGCGTTGACATGGACATTTCTTCTTGTCCCTATGTTTCCTGTTTTCCTGATCTTCATTGTCCACTGTAGAGTCGACTAAAATGTTGCGAGACAAGCTATTAGATGTTTTAGGAGTACCTGAGTTCTTCCTAGTATTTGATGCCATTCTCAAATCGAATATAAGTAATACTGACCAAATAGATCCGACTTGGGGTCGGCTCCCGTTAAGTGTTTTGTTTTGGAGGGGATTAGGACTTCAGAGTTGATGACCCTAGTAAAGTGTAGATGACCCTAATAGAGTGTAGATGACCCTTAGCTTAGTACGCCCCTTCGGGGGAGTTGTAACATACCATTCCTCAAATTATTTGTTATATAGTAGTGTTGAAAGTATTAAAATTGTCCCTATTGTCCCTAAACAGTATTATAAGGATTTATACCATACTTTATTCGAATCACATTTGGGATTTGGAATATCTGTATGGGGTGGTATTAGCAACAACCGACTCGAACCTCTCTTTAAAACACAGAAAAAGTGTATAAGAATTCTATTTGGGGATAAAGAAGCTTACTTAGAAAAATTTAGAACTTGTGCCCGGACACGACCATTTGGTGAGCAAAGACTAGGTGTGGACTTTTACAAAAAAGAACACTCTAAGCCCTTGTTTAAGAATCAGAAATTGTTAACTGTTCACAACCTGTATAAGTACACTTGTCTCTTAGAACTATTCAAAATTAATAAGTTAGAGGAACCATTATCACTGTACTCATCATTTAACAGGTCACCACGACGAGAGGATTATTTCATCACATCACAACCATCCTCACAATTCATCTACCAATCATCCTACATGTGGAACAGCTGTCGACAAACATCAAGTAAGATAAGTTTTAATACTCCGACAAACGGGTTTAAGAATACATTGAAAATTGCTTTACAAGAATTGCAATTCAAGCATGATACACTTGATTGGTGTGAGCTTAATTTTGCCACGAATAAGCTCAAGTTTTGATTAATGTGAGTTACTAAAATAACCACTTATCTTTCCTCATACATGCAACCACTGCACTCCAACTAAACACATTATTTACCACAGTCCACACACCATACTCCACAGATGATATATTTATATATATACACACAAACACACTAGTACCGAACAATTGCACTGTAAAACATGCTCACGATACACTCAAAATTAGAAATATTCGGCTCGTATATGAAACTTAGCGACTTACACTCAGTGTACACCCAGTGTTAACCAGTATTACACACTAGTAAATTCTACGTAACGCGCGAAAACAATAATTCTGTAGCGTTTTCATTGTCTCATCTCACGTCGACGGGATTAAACGCGCGCGCGCGTAACAACTTATCTTACTGCTAACTCAGCGACTAAACACACAACGACTTTGACAATTGACAGATGATTAAACAATTGTGAGTTATGACGGACTTAACTGTATGGGTCAAAATGCCAAATGACGTAGTAGATATAGATGTTCAATGTTGTAGAGTGATTTCAAGAGTAGTGGTCCACAGGGGTCCGAAAAAGCCGTACAGGCACTTGGGTCCTTATCCTTGTCACAAGTCCCAATTGGATTCACTTTACACAAAACATGAACGTTTACAATTTAGACGTACACATTGGCACGATATTTATTAGAGAGCAAACAGTATAAAATAATACGTGCGTGCGCGGCTTGAGCCGCGCCGCATAACAATTTATGCGTTTAGGGGCTGGAGTACTCGTGTTTACAGATTAATGAATTGTTGCATTGTAAATATTTAAAGTTGACGATATATTACGATTTAATAGTAAATTTTTCAAAGCTGGCTTTGGACTTAGGTAAAATTATAACTTATTTATTTAAAAGAAAAAACCACGGATAGTTTTAAATTTACATAGTCGTATAACTATAATCAAGTTAATCCTGTTTTCAAAAATGCGCGGCTTTGGCGGCCAGTTATTGACTTGTACATAAAATTGAATTTTAAATAGAAATGTGAATGTATTAAAATTTAAAACTTTCAAAACGGAGGCTTATAAATATTATTATATTATGATTGTAAAATAAAGGATAAAATTTTAAATTTGTTTCAAAAAAAAAAAAAAAAACTACTGAAACTATATTTTTTACTATCTTATTCATTATACTGGACATGAGATGACGAAGTATCTTAAGCAGCACTTTATACCCCCACTTAGAACTTGATTAGTCACGAACAATAGAATCATCAAAAACCAATACAATAAAACATCTTGATCAATAAATGCCTAGCAGCACCAGACAGCAGCCGTGTACCTTTTTCGACTCCGTGGAGTCCCTGATGGACTTTTGTTTACTTTTGTTAATAATCGGACCAACCTTTCTTTCTCGAAACATGTATCCTATTGTATTTCATTATAGTATTAAGATGTGAAGATATACTAGATATTACAACGAAATAGAGGTATACCAAATTGGCCCTTGATATGAACTATAACCGTGTTGATGGTTTTAAATTTTGTATGTTGTAAGTACTTTAGTTTGTGAAGCGTTTACTCCTCCCCCTCAGCAAGACAGCTAGATTATAGATTAATGATAATAATTGTCAAATGTCGTTATGGACACGTTCATTGAAGTTTGAGGATATTGGTAAATATTAGTGACCCTACTAAATGGCACGATGATGTAAAATGTGTCACACTATAAAACTATATAAACCCTCAATGGTTAGGATAATCGTTTCATCCTCTAGATAAACTTTGTCGCATAACGATATCTTTATCAGACGATAATATATCGCTTAAATCCGGCCGGCAGTGAGTTGTAAACTTTGTCACACTATAAAAATGTGACAGAGTTTATATGGACCCCTTGTTGCCGTGTTTGACCAAATTTTCGAATTTCAAATTTATAGGATAGTTGCATATGACTATTATCTACATATTTAGCGACTTTTTTCGTTAAATGGTAGCACCATGTAAACTCCGTCACACATTTAAGAAATTTATATGAGGGATGTTTATGACATCCTGACAAGAAATGCCGAAGAGTCTAGCATTATTTTGTGAGCTGAATGTGTTTGGAATTGTTCACATATTTCATTGTTATAGGCAAATACAAATACAGAAGGCAGAAATAGGTAAATTTAGTCACATAAATTTGTATGAAATCTCAACATGTGTGAAATTGAGTAAATATTAGTATACCAACTTAAACACCCTATATTACGTACTATGGATCAATTAACAATATTTTAACCATACGCCGGTCATATAAATTATTATATGGCAGTGATATGTTAACATTGGCAAAATTTCAACACCTGAACAGGGTAAAAATTTGTAAATTTCGTCACAAAAAAAATATTATAACTTTATTTGCTCCGTGTTGGCAAAATAACTAATTTATCGACATAGTGATGGTGATAAAGTAACATTATATACTAATTGAGGTATGATTCTTCAAAATAGGGGCAAGAAATGTAAATTTTGTCACATCAGCCATAGCATTAGTTAGATAGATTTTCTTTCATATCAACTGATCTTATTATAGCTAGAATGGATTTATACAGGAAATATAGAAACCCATGCCCATTTTTCATCACATTGAAATTATACTGTTGGGGCAGGAAAAGTAAATTTCGTCACATTTCGGTAAATTAGTGATATCAAACTCAGTATTGTTAAACTTGGGTTCTGATTTGCTGAAAAATAACCAACCAATAATTCCTGGAAGAAAATTGAATTTTAACTGAGGTATGGTTCTTTAAAATAGGGGCAAGAAATGTAAATTTCGTCACATACGTAATTTTAAAATTTAGATAGATTTTATTTCCTACCAATAGTCCTTATTATAGTCGGAATGGATTTATACAAGAAATGTAGAAACCCATGCCAATTTTTCATCACATTGAAACTATACTGTTGGGGCAGGAAAAAGCGAATTTCGTCACATTTCAGTAACTTAGTAAAATTAAACTCAGCATTGTTAAACTTGAGTTCTAATTTGCTGAACAATAACCAACCAATAATTCCTGGAAGAAAATTGAATTTTAACCGAGGTATGGTTCTTCAAAATAGGGGCAAGAAATGTAAATTTCGTCACATACGAGTACGTCATTGTAAAATTTAGATACAATTTCTTTCACGTGAACAGTCCTAATTACAGTCCGAAATGATTAATACAGAGATACAGGAAATATAAAAACCCCTGCCCATTTTATAATGTATGTAATATGTTAATCACAGACTATTTCATTCTATAATCATTGTTTCCAAATTCAACCTATTTACGATGTCATTTTGTGACGATGTTTACATCAACTGCCCTATACTTGAATCAACTGTATCCGTGTATCGTCCTTATATAGACTTATAGAGTTTCCCCGCAAAATGTAACCTATTTACGATGTCTTATCATTTTGTGACGATGTTTACATCAACTGCCCTATACTTGAATCAACTGTATCCGTGTATCGTCCTTATATAGAGTTTTCCCGCAAAATTTAACTTATTTACGATGTCGTATCATTTTGTGACGATGTTTACATCAACTGCCCTATACTTGAATCAACTGTATCCGTGTATCGTCCTTATATAGAGTTTTCCCGCCTTCCAAACCAAAATCAGATATAAATGATTTCGGAAATTCACCCAGGATTTCAAATTCCATATAATGTGACAGAATTTACATCATTTCCCAATATAACCAAGTGCATGTATTTGCTAACTTTTCAAAACAACATATTTTAGGGCTATGATTGGCAGAAGAACCATCAAATAATGAGTTGAAAGGGTTTTGAGGACACCTCACAGTAGAAAAGAGGTCTCGTATTCTGAGTGTGACAAAGTTTACGAAATATTGCCTTAACGCCGTTCGATCCGTGCCCTTTAACCAATGTTGTATCATAATTGTTAGATTGACCTAATCTACTATATTTCAGACCAAGGAATGATAATTGGGCAGCTATGGTAAACAATGTCACAAAAATGTGACATTTTTTACATTATAGTGCCTAAAAGCAATACATTTTATTTCTGAGCAGTGCATATGGGAGTATGGGTCACGTGGCTAATGTTCAGAACTTATGAACACGCTAGATTAATAGATGCTAAAATAAAGCCACTATCGTCGAAAACGCTATTTTAGAAATTTACCAATATCCTCAAACTTCAATGAACGTGTCCTTATATATTATATAACAGTTATAAATGTTCAATAGTTGTAGAGCGATTTCAAGAGTAGTGGTCCACATGGGTCCGAAAAAGCCGTACAGGCACTTGGGTCCTTATCCTTGTCACTAATCTCAATTGGATTCGGTTTACACAAAGCATGAACATTTAGACGTACACATTGACACGATATTTATTAGAAAGCAAAAAGTATAAAATAATACGTGCGTGCGCGGC